GGTATTTCATTTACACGAAACATCAAGGAAGAGGACCAAGGATTTTACTTCTGATGACTTCATTTTTAACGGATTCTCATATTTGTAAGGCTCCGTTTACCCATATCTTTTGCCTCCTTTCAATGAGAAAGTCATTTATCTAGTTTGTAATTTTCTACTGTGCTCTAAAACTTCCCGGTTTTAACTTAAGGCCCAGGTAAGAAGCCTTTTCAAATGTTCTGCTTTGATCGATGAAAATTACACATACCGGAAAATTATTATTTTTCTTCACTATCAAATCCTCTCATGCAATCAAATTTGCCAAACTAGAAAGGTTTTTCCTTGGACCTTGTCTAAAAGATTATTCTCTTCTCTCTCCACACAATGTTATAAGTCCTAAATGTGAACGAAGAAACGGTATAATCGTTGTTAGCTAACGGAGGGAGAACATTTAGATAGTCGATGTCTTCGGTTACTTGAGTAACTACTCGGTCCAACGAAGATCTTTGGTTTTAACTCAGAGGTGCGGATCCAGATACATGCTCTACTAAAACCTGGTTCGTCAGAGTGAAAAGAATTTCCAGGTATTACGGTGGATATATGTACCCAACTAACATCAAGGGCATGGAAATCTTACAATATCACTCACCTATTGCTTTAATTGTATGTCTGAGTGAAATATTCAAATAGGAAGATTAAGGTACGATAGATGACACCGAATTAAAATGAACAAACTTTGAAAGTGAGTTCGTAGCTTATGACCTCACTAGTTCCACTGTCATGAGATTTACAAATAAAAGAACAGACATATAATTTCTTAAACCTATTTCACCTCCCCACACAGCTCCCAAACAATTACTAAGAAATCATGTGAAATGTACTAGATTTGGGTGCCGTGAAAATAAAAATTTCATAAACTTCTTCATTAGAACAACCATCAAAATAGAAAATTGATCCTTGAATTGCAGAAACAAGCCTTTGAGATTAATTTTGGTGATCAACTGCACGTGTAACTGCGTGACCAGTTGATTAATATTCAAAACTTCAGAATGGAATATATTTAGAAACCCAAAGGTTTAGAACATCAAAAAAGAGGATGAGATCAAGGAGCGATTAGTGTGTAATCAAAAGAACAATGAAGTCTGAGACGATTGACTGACATTTGCGGAAGGAAAAGTCGAGTTTGAGACAATTGGTTAACATTTTGCAAATGAAGTATCTACTTTATGGTTCTCAGATTGTACTAAGACGTCCTGCATTTTTGTGTACAAATACATTCGATCGTCCACAATTGTGTCCTCGTCCACCACGTTACTAATACAACTCTGTTGTTCAGTATGAGAGTTGGCGCACTTAGTGGGGATTGCATTGCGACAAGCAGTTGGTGGTCGAAAGTAAGTGGAACTGTAAAGATTATGATCTACTTCGTTATTAGTATCGCTCTAGTAATAGACTTAATCCTAAAATTGTAGATTTGCCATAATGTAACTGCCTAATCTATAGGATCTTACGTGGAGGTCACATTATTATATATACCATTTCATCGCATCGTAACAATCATCAATATATGATGAAGAACACACTTAGGCTAGATATACAACAATATATTTAATATGAATAAATGGTTTAAAACAACACTCAAGAGTGACCACGCCTGCAAGGCCGAAACATGCCATCCGATGAATTCGAATTAAACGAATTATTTCTTCTCGTCTTCTCCATCGTTGGGTTATTCTCCGCGTTAAATTTTGGATATCTATTTTCTCAGTTGTCTCGTTTTCAGTTTTGATGATCGTGTGATTAGCGTCCAACGCCACTACAGAACTAAATTCCAAAGCAGTCAGTCGTACACATCCGCTTTAACGTACTATTTCATGCTTCTTGGTAGTGACCTCAGATAATTCCTGGTGGCATAAGTGATGATGCAGGACGAAGTTATGTGTTACATATGTGTTTTCGATAGTATGCCATATGAATGCTGAAAAAAGAGAGAAAAAGTAAAAGAAGCGGGACAAGCAATGTCCATGGTCAGTGAAGTTTAATCGTTTGCGATGGAATAATTAAGGTATAAATACTTAGACTCATTCTCTTTTAAAAGGTTACTAAGCAAGTATATTCCATCAGAGTAAAAAAACAAGACAAAGCACGGCATTGTATGAATACAGAATTATGCAAATGGAAGTGGTTTAAAAGGAGTGAACGTTCGGAATTGTGTTTTAAATTTAGTAAGTAAAACGCAATGTTTGAATACCAACCGGCTCTCTTTTCGTCAAGATTATTATTGTTTGTTTTTATTGTCATCACTTTTGAGGAGTTGAGTGAACACTTATTTCGTGTCATTGTCTCAGTATAGGGGATTATTGGACGCAAACCATTCCCACTGGGACGGTAATTCTTCATAAATGCCCTATGAATTTTTAGCTGCTGCAACAGAACCGTCCTCACACACACATAAACATAATTATTCACTAAGGGGGGATTTTGGCCGCATCTCCTTAGTATTTTCTTACATATCTTTTTATTGTCTTCGACCTCACAGATTAGATAGCTGATTTTATTAAACATAGGGCAGGCAATATTTCAGCTGACGTCTTCTTCTTACGACAACATACATACACTCTATGCATATGCCTACATAGGCCTGAGGACTACTGCAATACTTTTACACATGCACACACATGACTTGGCACGGTGCAGTTGCGTGAGCCTTGGGTTGGAACCCGAGTTAGTCAAGAATAGAACAGAGCGAGTGGTCACTCTGACCTGCGTTGAACACCTAAAATGACTAGCCATGGTGCCTCTGCCAATCATTATCGCCGCAAGGAAACCTTAGATAGTATTTCTCTGCCCTGAAGACAAGACTGCTAAAAAATATGGCTGCTGTGGATTAACAATGAACTCCTGTTTGTTGAGACAAACGCTCACGAGGGTGGAGGCTGAAGATATGATTAGTATGCTTCATGCTTATGTGCTTGTCTGAGTATCCCGGAAGCAGTGGTTCAGAGAATATTTTTCATCGTTGCAACTAAGATGCAAATGGCATTCAGTCAGAAGGGATTATAAAAGAAGACTACTTTGTAGTGATGTGTTTTGGTTTCCGCAGGGGAAATAAATGGTCATTAAATCTAGTGCAGGTAGCAATAACTGGTTAAGAAGGCAAGTGTGGTCTGTGATCGGAAAGGGAATTTTTGTAATTGACATCAGAAAGCTATCTTTATGAGGCAGTAGAAAATAGGTCGTTACTCCGGTCCCTAGGTTTACTGTCGTAAGTTTTGAGAATGGGTTACTTTTGATTGTATTCGATGCATATTATCCCCCGTAAAAGAATCAACATCCTTTTGGTCAGAACTGTCACAAAAGGAATTAAAATTATTTAAATCAATTATAACTGTCATATTGAACATTATTGTCCTCACCGTGTTCTAGGCATACTCGCTTTACTCACACTTTGAACTTGTTCACTCATTTAAATGAAGTGTTTAAAATGTAACCTAGAGGGTTTGCCATTGTTTACTTTGTTATCCATCAGAATATATAACTAAAGTGCCGTTATCACCACAGACAAAAAGGGTTTAACCTTCCTTAAAAACCATAGGGTATATGTAGTGGCATTGGACACTAATAACACAATCATCAAAGTGAACACGAGACAATGGTTGAAATAGATGTACATCGTTTAACGCGGAGAATAACCCAAATATGAAGAACGTAGGAACAAGGAATTGGGTTAATTCGAGTTGATAGTATGGCATGGCCAGGACTTGCAGGCGTGGTCCCTTTTGAATGTTACCTTTTCGTGCCTCTAGGTAAACCTCTTGCTAGTGGTAGAAGAAACCAGACAAGTAGTGAATAGGTTTTATTTAGATCTTCGCGCAGTCACAGTAGCGTGTGGGATTATCTGTTGAGACAAACAAAGCCTCTCAACATTCAATATATGATAATAGGAAATACAACGACTATACAAAATAAAGAAGTGAATGAATACTTGAACTATGCTGTTTTGACATATGCTTAGTTGTTTGAGGTGAACTCTTAACCAGTCAGTCTAAGCTGTTACGTTAGCTTCCCCCTAGAATCGACTTCCGTAGGAACGTCGGTTCGACTAACCTGTCTATCAAAAACACTTTAGTTCTGTTTTCTTAGCCCAAGGGGAAATTATCAACCCGCTCACTGTTTGACTTCCAATCAATTACAACTAACTGCTTCGGCAATCGCCGATAGTCCATGAATATCTGTTCATTTGCTCGCCAAATATGTCCATCTAAACCAACTGGATCTTAATAATCATCATAGTTCTTACATTATTATAAACTTTGTGCTTGTTTTTCCTTTTATCCACCACCAAGGTGTGTCACTAAAGGTCTGAAGTTTGGCTGACATCAGGCAAAAACATTGCCGGTTTCTCAACGAATGAGAACTCGATGCCTAAGTCTCTCAGAACAACTGTTTTTAAAGACCCTGAGTTGTCAAAATATTTCAGTCATGAAAATCCAACGAGTGTATTTACTGAATTTCGCCAACTTAGTTGCGGCAGCTTTGGAGCACTTTACTATGCTCGGAATCGTATAACAAGTGAGGTCGTAGCTATCAAAGAACTAAAGGTTGACATTAAACGTAAGAAGTCAGAAGAAGAGTGGAGTGACGTCGTTAAAGAGATAAAATTTCTTTCTCAAGTTGCACACAAAAACTGTGTATTGCCTAAAGGATGCTTCATGAAAGAGCAAACTCCATGGTTAATCATGGAATACTTCATTGGCTCACTTGCAGATGTTTAAGAAGTACACAAAAAACCACTTCGAGAAGATGAAATCGCCTGTATCGTTCAGGAAGTACTAACTGGTTTTGACTACTTGCACTCTGAGAAAAGAATTCATCGAGACATCAAAGCAGCTAATATTTTACTTACGGACTCTGGTGGCGTAAAGATTGATGATTTCGGATCAGCTAGTTTTGTGAGTCTGGCCAGTAGTTTCGTGGGAACACAATTTGGGATTGCTCCTTTAAGAATTACTTGTATTGAAATGGCTGAGTTGGAACCTCCTTACTTCAGCGCTACCAATCTTATGGCAGCGTTATATCAAATTGCTTCAAATGATGCCCCACGCTGGTGGGAGGTAACTAGTCCGATGAATTTCAGGATTTTGTACGGTTTGTTCTCCAAAAAGGTATGAATGAAAGACCGTCTTGTTCCCAAGCCATGAGACACCCCTTCTTGGCTAGTGTGTTTCGTTTTTCGCATATTCTTCCAGAGTTAATTCAGCGAACTAAAGCAGCTGTAGCTGTTCAAGAAAATCAGATTAGTCAAAAATGGAAAAGATTCTCTATGAAAGTAATTTTAGTCAATCTCCATCTTCGGTCGTACTTGACAACAGTCAGGAGAGCCCAACGTCAAGGAAATCTGGGTTTGTATATGATGACTCTAATGCAGACCTAGAGGCTTCTGCAAGAAATTCCTACAAACCAAACCTCGTCTCTGGAATATTAAGGCAATCTCACAAAGGATTAAACATTGGTGGATCTGAGTGCAGTTTGCGACGGCACGATTTACGGAAGGCATCTCTTCAAACTCAGCAGCGTGATTCTAACAAATGTATTGATGAGGAAACCAGTCATGACACTAATTCGATAAACGATTAGGTCGAATATCTTGTAGGTGATAGTTGTTCGAACAACGTGGGTAGCGCTAGCAGTGATCTGTTCGATAGCTGCAGTAGTCCTGGTCAGAAACATGTGTATAACCCCCCCCAAACACTTTGTATATGGAATTTCAAATGAAAACTCACCATCTCGCACATTCGATCCGGCTAGTGGACATGGTGGTTTATTCGATTTCAATGGAACACAACCTTCACCTCTGTCTAATCGATCGAGCTCACACAGACTAAGCGAAGGGGATTGTAGTATAACTCAACATCCTCAAAATCCGCGTCTTGTCCAAATCAACAGTCATTTATAAGCTAATATGGAGTCCAGTAACGACGGTCATGTGTATCATTCAATCTCAGTTGATTCTAACAATGAATTGAGGTACCACGGCACAATCGCTGAAACTGTGGGTTCTTCTGTTACCTCGACAAAGACATATAATTAACGGAGAAACTTAAAGCTTTAGTCGGTTCACGACTACTTCTCATAATGATCCGGTCATGGTCACTGAAACCTCCCGTATAGTTTCTGTTGAAATAAGCTCTCCAGCAGACACGTCATCTTCTGTTGGCCATTTCGCAACACTAAAAACTACACAGATGATGAGAGGCCTGTCTTTAGAACCAGATGCTTCAAATTCACCTGCCGCTGTCGCCTTTGGCTTCACGCAACAGAGTTATGAGAGAGGGATGGCTAACTGGCGTGATCAAATGAATGAACTTGAACGACTTCGAAATCAATATAATAAACACCTCAAACGAGTTGAAGATAAAAATAAGATTTAGGAGGAATCACTCAAATCATGACTGAATCGTGACTATGGAGCAATAAAGTTAGCAACCAGAAAAGAGTTCAAAAGATGAGAAGAAATCCATGCCGCTAAAATTGAAAAAGGGCGCAAAAGAGCGATGTCACTTGAATAAAAAAACCAGACAAGTTGTGAATAGGTTTTATTTAGATCTTCGCGCAGTCACTGTAGCGTGTGGGATTATCTGTTGAGACAAACAAAGCCTCTCAATATTCAATATATGATAATAGGAAATACAACGACTATACAAAATAAAGAAGTGAATGAATACTTGAACTATGCTGTTTTGACATATGCTTAGTTGTTTGAGGTGAACTCTTAACCAGTCAACCTAAGCTGTTAGAACCTTACATCTTTTACTCATATAAAATACATGGTAGTATCTCTAGTCTAAGCTTGTTCGTCATCATATATTGATGATTGTTACGATGCAATCAATTGGTGTACACGATGATGTGACTACCTCGTAAGATCTTATAGATTAGGCAGTTATACCATTACAAATCTACAATTTTAGGATTAGGTCTATTATTACAGCGGTACTAATATTGAAGTAGACCATGATTCTACATAGATGCCAATTTCAGAGTTCACAGAAGAACGCTAAAAAAGGATAACTCAAGTGGCATAAAGCTAGGGATTCTTGACTATTTGCCAAGTTTAGTTACTATCTATTCGTCATTTTTTCGGGTCTCCGATATGAGGTCTCTACTAAAACACTGTTGAACAAAAACGTTCGTGCTTCACTCTCCTTCAAAAGAATACAAGTTGCATTGTTATTTTCGATATTTGTACTATTAATGCTTTCACAGGACAAAAGATTCAACGTGGACTTTGTGACAAGATCGATTTCAATATATCTAGTAATAACCCAAATCATAGGGTACTCATCCAAGTAATCCGCCTAGCTATGTGTAAAGATGTCACGAAATGTTAATAAATTTGATGAAGTTCAAAGATGCCTAGATTGGATCGAGGATACATTCAATGCTTTCTGTGGCGATTAAAATCTTGTCCTCCTTTTATCTACACAAAGAATTGGCTTGGTAAGATCCTTTTTTGTTCCCTCAAAGTGAAACGAAACGAGGCTGGTCTGTTCACCAGCTAAAGCAAACCTGAGTAGTCGATCGTCTCATGATGTAAGCAAAGAGTCATTTCATTGTCGTTTTACTCTACTGGTGCATTCCGAATGGTATAACCCTCAGTGTCCAGACATACTAATGCACGAGCTTCGTGTATACAAGCCCCGAACTGCTTTATTTGTGAGAACACTAGGAATGTAGAATGTTTACTGGAAAAAATCAATCAGCAATCATTTATACACATAAATATGTCTACTGTTTTGAAATAAATCACATATTGGTCAACCACGTGCACTTGTCATTCAAAGTTTTGATTCGCGTGATATGGTGTCATTTGGTGCCTTTTGGTTGACACACTGCATCACAACAAATCAATGGAAATGGGTGAGCGAATCTGTAACGACCGTTATTTTAGTTTTGTTGATTTATTTGGTTGAAAAAGTCCTTCGGTTTACAGAACACTGTAAAACGTCCGTGACTGGTTTTTGAGACGGAGGAATGCTTGAATGGATAGTATGCAATGGTTTATGGATTAGCAGCAACTGCCGAACGGCCCGAATTAAATAATATGCAAATCAAGCGTACGAGTTTCCACCAAAGTCGTTAGTGGATTTGTAGCGGTGTCTGTCCTTAACCACATGATCTTTGAAGCCAAGCATATAACTATTGACAAAGTTTGCATTCAATTTGTAACACTTAGAGGTTGAAAAATGATGAAGTCTGGAACCGAGAATCTAAATGAGATGGTTCATCCCGGTGGGCCTACTAAATTTGTGTAACTCATATCTTTGCATTAAATATACTACTTTATCTTCGGACAGAGCATGTTCAGAAGTACCAAAGATCATAGTGCTGATTATCACAACAGGACTAGTTAGTATAAACAATGACGTGACCTCCACACTAGATCTTATAGACTAGGTAGTCAAATCATGACTAATTCACGAATTTCAGATTAGGTCTGTTATTGTGGTAACAAACACAAACCCCACATAATTCCACAGATTCAGAAGGCTTCAATTTTGCCTCGTTGCAATGATTATTATGTAGTACTGCTCGGCTTTATTGACGTTCTGAAATTTATGCGAGTGGATGTTAATACGGTCAAACAGGGTGCAACAGTGACAATAAAACTATAGCCATCAACTCGATAGGTTGGCTAGAATCGCCATTGGAGTAAATATTACTGTCAGATGTGTGTGCATTCTCGTCTCAGTGAGCCTCTAACTAGCTGCGACTGTCCAAATACAGGTACTGATCCGACCAATCAATCAATAACTTCAAACCACAAGTCGCTTCTCTCTTAATGCTCTTACTGCTTATTCTATCACTTTTAGATACGTCACAAACCAAACAAAACGCAGTCGTGAACTGATTGTTTTAAAAGTAACTTAGGTGTAGTTTTTAGTTAACCATATATCATACACGATCACAAGACAATTTTAGGTGATTATATTGGGCGACCATATGTAAGCGAGATTCGTTTCTGGTCATTTATTTCACACGAAGATTTCGCTAAGACTTCGTCCATTTTATGAGGGTCTGTCTATTCTCTACATAGTTTAGTTACTTTCCTTGTTGGTAGGTTTCTTGTTCTTAACCATACTTTTCTCCTGATTGTAAGGGTACTTCAAGAGCCTTCTAATTATAATACTCTGATGTTTTTGTACCATGCCCAAATGTACTTGAGTCATACTATGATGCCTCGATATGTCGTCCCGAAGCTTCATAACCGTGTCTGACACCAAGAGAGTTTCTGAGTGCATTGTTGGCGGCAAGAAATCAGCTGGAAGCCATACATTCCTCTCTGTCCACAGCAATCGAGGTGTATGTCCAGTGGACGTATGGACGTTACCTCGATATGTTAGTAAACATGTTTATGGCAAATCCCTGTGATCTAGCTTCTCCCTGAATAACAAATGCTTTTGGTCGCGTTTTGAGTGTTCAATTGGGTCGTTCAACAAACCTGTTGCTTTCTAAATGGTAGGCAATTTTTCGTGTATTGCGAATTCCCAGCACGGCATGAGTTTTGAAAAAAGTATGTTTTCAAAGTTGGTACCTCTATCTGAATGTAAGTGAACTGAGGTACCCAGATGAGCAATCCATGTTTAAAATACCGTTTTAGCTACTTTCTTGGTGAACCGCCCCACACCACTTTATTAATTGATCAGCCTTAACTAAATTACACCTATTTCCTCTGTTGATTTCCCATAACGGCTTAATAATGTAAATCCCCACCATCTTGTCTGGGTAACCTGGTTTCATGTTTACAAATAGTACAGGCCGGCTGCCTTTGGGATTCTTAGTCGTTTGACAGATTATGATGTGGAAAGTCATAAAGCTCAAAGAGACCCCAAAATAACTAATAAGAATCCGAGTCATTGGAGAAAGAGACTAACGAAAGTGACCATAGGTTCAGTCTGTCATGACGAGACACTGTATAAGTTCGCGGCCGCAAGCGAGACAAAAGACCTGCGTCATTTGGGACCACTATCACCCAGACCCTCAATCTTATGAGGAATAATTAGAAGTTAGATGCAGGACATAGTAGTTCGGAATGTAATCATATCTCTTACCGTTTAAAAACAGCCAAGTACTGAAACAACCAGAAAAAACAGATAACAACAGAAACTTGTCTTAAATCCTCCAAGAGAATTTTGGTGGATTCTCACGAATTCAGAACAGAATCTTATGTTCTCATACAGTTATTTGCTTTAATCCATACTTGTCAACAACAATCCCAGAAAAATTCACAGTAGCAACTGCCATCGATTGGTAAGACTACCAATAAACACTGCTTAACATCATGATCCAAACAAAGAAACTGAAACGCTTGTGTTAGTTTGCAGCAAAGATATTGATTATTGTCAATTTACTTTCACGGTTTGATTGTTTGGCCTCTGCGACCTTGGAGTCCACATACTGGCTGTTTGGTAAGTGTTTTGGGTCAAAATATCTACGTCTAGTTTTAGTCAACAAAATGTTTTGACCCGAGGATTTTCTATTGCTGATTATTATTTATTACCTTCCTTACTAAATTTAAGTGCATTTTGTGCGCTTCCTGCGTCATCGACTTGGATATAATAATCTAAATATTTCATCCAAATACTGAAAAGACCTAGTTTGCAATTCATTTACACAAGGTAAGAAGAGAAGATGTGCCTTGGGGAATTACTTTTTACAGGTCCCCACAATGAGAGAGCTCCAGTTACACATACCCCTTGTCTCCTGTCAAGGAGAAAGTCGCTTATCCACTCTTTGACCTTATAGTGGATTCCAAAACTTTCCAGTTCTAATTTAAGAAACGAATTGAAGACCTTATCAAAGACTTTTCTTAGGTCTATGCAAATCACATCTACGGAAGTGTTTCTATCTTTTACCGCGGCCCAATCTTCTCTCGCAATGAGCGGATTTGTCAAACATGTCATGCCTTCCCGAAAACTATCTTGTTCCACAGATAAAAGATTATGTCCTCCTACATAGTTTGTGACAGCCATCCGAACAATCTTTTCCATTAGTTTTACAACTGCATTGGTTAGACTAACGGGTCGGTAGTTAGTAACTGAATCTCTACTCCCCGCCTTATACACCAGACTAATTATTGCGTATTTCCAGTCTCTTGGCATTCTGGACTGCCGCAGAGGCATATCAGACAGTATGACTATAATTTCAGCAATTACATTCGACAATGGCTTTCATAATCCTATGGTGAATGTCGTCAGAACTACTGGGTTTGTCAGGTTTCAGATGTTGAAGTAGTCTTAAGACGGTGCATTTCTCAATAACTACAAGATCTATCAACAAGCCGCCAAAGTCACACTTAATCCTTGGTCGTTCTTCATCAATGATAGAAAACACTTAAAATATTCCGATAAAGCTTCAGCTTTTTCGACCTCATCTCTTGTCAACATTAACGGATTTGTTTGTACCAAAAGTGATGGGATTCCATCACTTTTTTGAGTTCACTTCTTTGTATACGAGAATAACCGTTTTGGAATATTTTTAAAATTCCTAAGCAATTGTTTTTCGTGACAGTCTAGTCTTAATAATAATCGCTTTACAAGCATTTATAGTCTTACAATAACTGGATCTATACTGTTGTCAGTAGAGATGAATATATTCTAAAGCTTTTTCCTACGTCCAATAAGTTTCTTGACTTTTTTAGTTATTCATGGTGGACTGTTATTCGGTCTACGTAGTACCAGGTATGGTGTAAACGAGGACGTAACTGAATTAAACGTGCCTTTAAATATAGACCATGCTTCTTCAACTGATAAGCTGGTATCTACTGACCAATCTGTCTTAGCAGCGCACTCATGAATACCTGATATGTTAGCTCTCAAATGCCCTGGTACGGCCAAGTGTGGGGAGAGTCCGCTCTTCCTCTCGAAATGCTCTCACATGGCCACGTGCACACAACCACTGCCAGGGAAGTCTACTCACTGCCTCCTCGTGGCGGGGGTGTTATTTACAAAATTGAGAGGACAAAATGCGAATGTCCGGCACTTTAACCGGGTTGGTGGACACGGAGGAGAGAAAGTTGGAAAACTCTGATTCTAAACTAATAGTACTCATACGCTCCAGGATTCTGAGGTAGCGAATGAAGTATGCCTTCGAAACATTGCTCGTACATCTTCGGATCACCGAGTAATTAACGCAGTTGTTAGGAAACGGTTACCAGGTAAGGGTGGCAAATCAATTGATGAAGTAGTGAAACTTCATCAGTTGAGATGGCTGGGACACGTGTTACGTATGCCTAACCACCGACTGCCCCGACGTGCGATGTTTTGTGGTATAGGAGTAGGCTGGAAGAAAGCTAGGGGCGGCCAGACCAAAACAGCACAAATCCATGAAGTCACTGACGAGTGGACTGAGCCATGTTGGTAGGTGTAGACTACCTGGTTGGGGACCGCGAAATGATAGCGACCAATCGTTAGAGACTTTGAATGACATGGCTCAAAATCGTTTGCCATGGCGCAGGTGCATCCACTCTTTGTGTTCTCCCAAATTCTAATCTTCTGAATTCTTCAGGTCGTTTATTTTCTTTCCAAATTTATTTCACTGGATTATACTCTTTAAATAAAATCTCCAAACCCTAATCTTCCCGATTACTGCTTATACTCTTATTACCTCTACCACTACGGGATTTGAATCGACAACTGCATCTCTGTGCTAATGTGGTATGGCAACTCGAACTGATGTACGTGCTTACTAAGTTCCACGTTGTTACTGACTGACTGACTATTGTTGGCCACCGACAATCATGAGATTGCATCTTCTAAAGTTGCTCCACTGCCTTGTGGATTGGATCTTTAGGTCGAAGGCTTCGAGTGTGGCCGTCTAAGAAAGCAACCTGCTTCGGTTTGGGCACCCGGGAAGTATCACAGCCCACACACAAGTCAAGTGACTTGTGTAGCGCATATGTATTCAGTGCCGCCTTGTACCAATATTTATGTGTTCAACTAAATAAGTAAATGATAAAATAGCTCTCCATACATTTGGGTGAGACTGAACCTGATCGTACATCGTGTCACTAGCTCTAACTCTATCTTCAACATGTAAATACTAATTAAAAGTATGGCAACTTGGACCGATTCATACATGTGCCTGATCCTACGTTGTAGATGACTGACTGAACTTCTTAAAAGTCTTTGACTTGTGGTAACGTTCATGGTGATGTTTATGTCGATCGACAAACACTAGTAACTTCAATTTTTTATTACTTCCATAAAAGTTGGCTACTTAAGTCTTTTATTTTTGCTTCAGGTTTTTTTCGGTTCATTGAATCGATACAGAGTTTATGCAACGCTAGTTTCGGATACACCTTGATATTTCCTGTTGATGATTCGTGCCATACTTATTATTAATAACCATGGAAAACCAAGATTAATAAAGTTTTATGAGCACTATGTATGTTTAAATTGTTGTTTACTGTATCTCAATCACAGAGTGAAGATGAACAACAGAAAATTGTCAAAGAAGTTTTTCATTTGGTCTCTAGAAGAGATGATGATGTTTGTAATTTTTTAGAAGGTGGCACGTAAGATACCCTGTTTTTGTTTATTGGTCTTTTACAGACTAGTCGGTGGACAAGATTATAGATTGATTTATCGTCATTATGCAACATTGTATTTTGTATTTTGTGTTGATTCATCTGAAAGTGAACTTGGCATATTGGATTTAATTCAAGTATTTGTTGAAGCATTAGATAAATGTTTTGAGAATGTTTGTGAACTTGATTTAATTTTTCATGTAGATAAGGTAATTTGTTGTTTTAAAAAAAGTTTTTAATCTTTTTGTATAGGTACACTACATACTAAATGAACTTGTATTAGGTGGAATGGTATTAGAAACTCATATTAATGAAATTACTCATAGATATGAAGAACAACAAAAACTAGAGAAACAAGAGGCAAGTTCAATTTATTATTGTAACTATTGATATAATAAAGAAGGGATTAAAGTTCCAAACTAATTAAGGAATATTTTATAAGTTAGAAAATGATAAAAGATGAAATTCGTAAATAGAATATGTACTAGTGATATTTCTAGACAAGGAATTTTTTCGCCTTAAGATATATGCGTATAGGTGAATTCATTCCAGTCATTTTATTATTTAATCTTTAAAAGGTCAAGCTCAGAAATATTCTAATAATTTACTATCAGAATGAATAAGTGGGATTATTTATTTATTTTAACACATAGATATTGGTACAAGGAGGCATCAAATACATATGCGCCACACAGATCTCATTTGATATGTGTGGGGGCTATAATACTGCCCGAGTGCCCAAACCGAAGCAGGTGGTTTTCTTAGGGGACCACACCCGGAGCCTTCGACCTGAAGGTCTGGTCCACAAGGCAGTGGAGCAACATAAGGCGATGCAATCCCATGGTAGTCAGTGACCAACGATTGGTTCATACGCCATTTGTTCCTTCAGGATACTGGAGCCAATGTGCATCATTGGTTTGGAATCAGGGTTTTCCAACTGCCCTAGGTGGACTCTCCATGTCCACCAACTCGGTTAAAGCGCCAGACATTCGCTTTTCGTTCTCTCAATTTCGTAAACAACACCCGTGGTACGAGAAGGCAGTGAGTAGGACTTCCCTGGCAGAGGCTATATACGCGTGGCCATGTGAGAGCATTTCTAGAAGAGCAGACTCTCCCCACACTTGGCCGTACCAGGTCCCCAAATGCCCTGGTGCCCCCAAATAGGTGGGGCAATGAACTCTAGAAATTTAACAGCATTTCCGTAGGTCTTCATTAATTTGACAGTCACTGTCAATCCGATAACAGTGTCTAAGTACAAAATGATTAATAGTCGTGAAGTTTTAGACGGGCAGAAGATGGTTATGAAGTAAAACGATTGAAAATGAAAGGTCCTGAGCATCATCTAGACTAGAATCATTAATTAAATCAACCTGCGTGAGAATTTAAATAATTGAGTTAAATTTAGTCGCTTTATATCAGTGCTGAACTTTGAATGATCAAGTTTATGTTCAACATAACTCGTTTCACTATAATCTCAGAGAAATGAACCTAATCTTAATGGTATCTAAAACACTGAGTTAACCACCCGGATAGCAATCATTGTTTAGTGGTAAACTATGTAACAGCATCATGCTCAAGCTCAAGGCCGAGAAATTTTCAAGTAAGAAATCTATATCGGCACGTATCTCAGAACTGTTTCCAAATGTTATCGAAAATAAAACAGATCGAATTAAGAGATTGGGCAATTGAATAAGGTGGTTTTACGACCTTGTTTTGGCTAAAGTATATTTTCATAGATCTTTCTAAACGTTGATCGAGAGACTGTACGTACGTCTACGTATCGAAGTATATTGTAGCAGTTTAACTGTCAAACTGTTCGCCTTTAAGTTTACCATCATACTAAATACAAGTAGTTTAGGGGGATTCAGTTGTATAGAGGTAGCATGCTTGGGATAACTAGAAACCGTCGTTGTCCATTGCACATCTTCCCTAAAGTTTTAAACATTACACTACTGACGTGTAACTTTTCTCGCACCGTAATTGTTTCTGTTTTTATAAATAAAAATATATTTGTAATATCTCATTTTGATATTACAAATATTTATTTATAACAATCTGCACAATGCTCAATTTATTTCGATTTTTATTCATATCTATGCTTCTGTTGGTTTTCGCTTTGCTTACGGTGATTTGCGACCGTTGACTTGTATGGGAGTCTTTACGTTATGGCGTTTTGTGGCCCGTCTGACTCCATAATTTATTGGTCCCCATTATTAATTTCCTATATAATAATTTAGCTAATGCCATTTGAATAAAGATGATATTAATGCCAAATACAAATGTAACGGGGAGATTGTATTTCAAGAAAACGTATTAGGAGACAGGCAGGAAATGATCGCGCGAATACATCTTTGGGATTGGCAATACTAACCAACGCACGTACATAGTTCATATGAATAAACGAAAATAGAATAGCATACCTACAGAAAATGTACATGAGTAGAAGGTGACGATAATATGTGTACGAGTACGTACCATAGAAGTAATAAGGATCTGTCGGTCACATTGTAGTGAACAAAAACACCAGTGGGGACAATCGAATGTATTTGACGTTAAATTGCGGAGCATCTCAATAAAATCTGAGAACCATGTAATAAATTGTTAATTTGCAAAATATCAACCCATCATCTCAAAATTGACTGTTCCTGTTGCAAACATCAAACCATTGTCTCAAATTTCATTGTTCATACGTTTTCATACTAATTGCGTTCCGTTCCCGTTCTTTCCTCATCAACCTACTGAAATACATTTATACCTGACCACCGTTATATACTACTTGTGTGGATATAAGTAACTCATACCACAACATAAGTATTCCGTTTTGTTTCAATGGATACAAGAGCCTATGTCAAATTGCTATCTCACTTTGTGATATGGTTATGGATTTAACTAAGTGCTTATTATGTCCTAAGTGTACAATAGTTCGCTACAAATGAATCATTCTGTTTCATAATCCGATTGCAGCTAGTTTGTTTTATATCCAAAAGAGTTTTGGGTGAAATTTGAAGTGAAATTGTAAACGCTATGCACACTAATTTAAAAAAAACGAATTTAAGCACTAATTTCTTTCTATGTGCCGATTGTATCATTCATAAAACATGAACTTATATGTGATCAACCTGTTTCTACCTTTTTTTGTTAAAAAATGTTAGTCTGGATTATCCGGAGCGCCAGCTCGGGCTGTTTCAGCAATGCGTGATTTAAATCTTCATCAGAAATTCAAGGAGATACGTTTTCCGGATTTACAATCATTGCAAAACAGACTATCACGTTGACATTTTTCTGTATATGTGCTTATTCTTTGTTTCGTTTTATCTGTTTGTTATGTATTACTTAATTAATGATTTCATATGTGACTTTAAAAAATTATCTATTTGTCTCTTGTTCAAAATTCTTTTTTTATTTCCGAAATTTCATTTACTGATCTCCGTGTATCTGTTCATTCAAATTTTCTGTCGGGATCATAGGAGTATACTGTACTTAATGGGTGTTGTTTTTCCAGAACTATTGAATTTTATTTTCATAGTATGATATTATGTGGTTAAAGGGAAACTCTGGATGTAGATCTCGTGATAGTTGGTATTTGTCAACTAGATCTGTCTGTATATCTTAAGAGAATTAACATTATAAATGAACTGCACTTAATTAACGGAGTAATATCAAGTAATTCATTTATTTCAGTAAGCCTATTGCTTCCAAAATGTCTGACTAAGTTAGATTAAGTAATAAATGTTAGTAGGCCCTGAAGTGCTATCAAGTAGATGTTACTGAATAGTACTTATCAATTTCATAGTTTTATACTAGATGGAGGTATGTAATTCTGGAGTCACAAAGTCAATTTCTGAGAGCAACCATATAGCAAAATGGAACTCGTGTACTAAGTGATGTTTGAATGAAAGAAAGTCTGCTCTACTTGTGAGGTCATGTTCATTTTTTAGTGAAAACATACCTTCTGAAAGTCTGTACGTAATTATACAAGATGTTTTACTGATTTGAGGATAATACTTAAATAAAAACATTTCTAAAACACATTAACGAAGAATATTCTTCAGGTTCTACAATTATATTAAGTTACTAATCAAAAAAATGGCAAGGTTCAAGGTAAAATGCATCGTTTAGAATTATAGCGTGTAAATTCAAGACTTCATGATATAAAATAAAATCGTTAATGATGGGGGTTTTTCAGCGATTAAAATAGGATCAACCCATTGAGTTGAAGGCACTCAATGAAGTTCCGAAGTATAGCGCAGAGTTCAAGAAAGCTAACACGTCGTTGGAATTTATTGGGAACTCTATTGAATCACGTCATAATCCAAAACTGTTCTGTAGAAGATATTATTGCCGTAATCAAGTTCATCAAAACAAAAAAGCATTGGATTATTATCCATTAAACCAATTTGATCTATTAAATACTGACTTGGAGTTCGAAGTAAAGATTGCTCACAGGAAACTTACTGTTGACAAATTAACAGAAGACATTGAGTTACAAAGATAACTAAACAAAGATCAGTGAAGAGACGTATCCAACTTTTCAAAAGCATAGAAAATCAACCAGTTCAAAATAAATCTCCGATTGAACTTATAATTTATGTTCATAATTTTTCCGGCAACTAATTAAATAAAGGAAAAATTGGATCATTATCACTAGATCTAAAATTGTGATGGACGAAACTGCATAAATAAATAAAGACATCCAATTTAAAATCTAGTTCCGACCTCCGATTAAGGTCTTGGGCGTTTTAGATCATTTCTGGTTGATTACTGCTGTCAATTTCAGAATAGCAGATATAACTACAGAACCATTTTAACTAAAAAGCACAAAGCTATTCGTGAACTTAATAATGACGAAAATTCAATGATAATGAAACGGGGACTGTCCTGTTCAACCACACAGACTACATCGACAAGGTGAATAACATCTTGACTGGTCATTTAAAATTCCAAAATCTGAATGACTAGAAGGATGCAATAATAAGATAGAGAATGAACAGACCAGATATTTAGGAAACCTCAGGGATAAACAGGTAATCCTATCTAACGAAACAACGACGTTGATACCAAAATTATACCGACCGCCAAAGCTACACAAACCGGATATCCCATTGAGACTGATTTTAGACATTTACAATTCCCGTTAGCATACTGTAGTAAAATGGCTAGTAACCACTTTAAAACCACTCCACAAACATACAGTGAGGCATAATATTAAGGATGTGTTCCAGTTCGTCGACAAGGTCAAAAACGTAAACACCAAAGGACAAATGATGATGTCCTTAACTTAACATCATTGTTTAAAAATGTTCCACTCAGGGAGATTGTTGAATATATGTGTGAATGACTTAGAGAACAAGAAAGAGAGACTATATACCCGGTGGACTTCTTTTTGAAATTATTACTGAAATATACTATGAACGTAAACTCCAAATTCATTGATGAAATATATGAACAAATAGATGGTGTTACAATGTCTTCGCCCCTAGGTTCCATACGGCTGAGATTTTATTCCACTAAGCTAGAAAACGGTCCATCGGCACAGCATACTGACAAGTTTTCATTTAACTGTCGATATATGTACGATAAGTTCAACTATCATACTGATCGAATAAAGACACTCAAGCAATTTAAAGAAGTTCATCCGTCTATCATATTCACATATGATGAAGGAAATAGAGGTAGAATAGCTTTTGTCGATGTTTGACTTGCAAGGAGGATAGATTAGTCACTGAGAAGAGACTTAAAACAGAAAACTAATTGGACTGGTCAATATACAAAATTTTTTTGATTTTGTTCCTTAACAGTATAAAGGAACTTGATTAAGACTTTTCATTATAGAATTAAGACCGTATGGTTCCAAGATGCGGTTAAAGAAGGAAAATGTCATTGCGTACTGATCTGACTAAACATATCCACACATATTGTTATCGTTATTGTTATCATTACTATTATAATACTTGTAAACGTTTTAAGAAATTTACCCAACATCCAACCCTATTTACTAGTTCGTACATAATTCATAATATTCTAAATATTACATGATTTCTAATTTGTAATTACAATATTATCTCTTATAACCCATGTTAACCGTATTTATTCTGATTATAATCCCCTCTATTTCGTTCAACGTATAAATTTATTCAAGTCAACACTTCAAATTAGTCATTCATATTACAAAGAACCCTGAATTCATATGCTATCACTTTAAACGTTGTATTTCGCTTTAAACCTAACCGTATTTCGGATTATTAAGTTAGACACATAATTGTAGAACCTGAAGGGAGTTTGTTGAAAAGAATATTCTTCGATGATATATCTGTGTTGTAGTGTGGTGCAAATTTTTCAGTGATTAAAAACATTCCTACCGGTTTAGACTACTCACAAGTAGTCAAGACATAATGTGTATTTTATTTGGATTACTTTACACTTCGTAATTATGTGGAAAATCGTTTAGATTGGAAAATTCATGATGATTTGTGTAAAATGGTTGATACTAAAATCATTATCTAGACTTATCACAAAGTAGGTGAAAGATAGTGAATCAATCATTCTACAAGCTATTCCCTACTCATTTCACTCCCCGTTAAATTGATGCGGATTTATGACGTTCCAGTGAGCATTTTATGAAATGGACAACTCAGTTATCAAATTTACGGCTTATTGACAAAATGGGTGCAGTTAAACAGTATATAGGAATAAGTTTGTATAACCAAATTTACGGAAGTCAGTTTATACTTTTATCTCTCTTATCCACTTTAGCACTGATTGCTAGAAATTTTTATTGTTTCTCTTACACATGGATGTTTACGAGTTAAACAATACTCGTTAATTCGCTTGATACTATGTTTATTGTTCGCATCATTTGGATCTATTGTGACAAATCAACTATTTCGGAAACACTTTGTCTGGGCTTCTGTGTATCCTGCACCGTTGACAGAATAACTTGTTGAAGGTTATTTAATCCAAACGTACAAGAAGATTGAAACGTAACCTTCTTGTATTGAGTATAATCAATTTTTTTCTTGTCACTGATGAGCGTTAGATGGTAAATGTTTGAAAATAAGTGATGAATAAATACTCGGCTCGTTATAATTTGGACTCTTGAACTCAGAACCTCAAGATTTTACAAAGAGTGAGTCACAGAATACGCTGGTCAAAATTTAATTAGTTCATGGTAATACGCGACCACAACCTAGTGCCATCAGTAATATTCGTTCTGTTACTAAAAAAAATAATCAATTAGACTGAAGCTGTTAAGTGCTTCCTAATTTTCAGTAGTTCTCCAGCTGACTATAGTCTGTGATACAAAAATTATTTTGAAGTTGGACTAATCCTCATAAACCAACTAATCTATCATCTTAAATTTGGCAATTGATTAGACAGATTGCAAACATTTACATTTGCTTAAAAATGTCCTAAAAAACGACAAAATAGTATTTTGAAGAAAATACTTTGTCAGTTGCTGAATAATGGTTATTTGGAATATTAGGACAACTGGGACTTATCTTTTATACAACTTTTCTCTGCAGACACAGACAGTCATACTAATAAAAAGAGCACAAAGATGATTCACTGTAAATACATTATTTTTTGTATTATTTATGTAGTTTAGTCATTATATAATGTCCGTGTTGATATAGAAATAAAGTCTTTGTGCATTAGTCTATGGATATGAAAAGATATAACAGACAGATATGTTTCGAAACCGGACTCTAAATGAGATGATTTGAGAGGTCTTTGAACATGCGAAGATGCAGTAGCTGGCATGAAATTATAAAATTCATATTTTCTAACATTTTATTATAACCAAATATTTAACAAAGAAGAATAATTTTCAAGTCACTGGAGCTAAAGGGATAACAGGTTGAGCTTGAAGCGAAAGGTACTGGGGTTGAATATCTGTGAGAACATTAACAGTGTGATGCAGGCACATCAGCTAACCATTCCTAAATGGGAAGAAACAAACGTCCTACATTCTACTGATAGCTATTAACCAACTTAATTTAGATTCATGTTACTTTGTTCTAAGTACACTCATATAATAGGAAATCAAGTCGAATACCTTCGAAAACAATTAGGTGTTCATATCTGGAAAGAAGTATCTATCTACCAAAATTTCACAGACAATATGAATGGGTTCTTATGAGTGTACATGTGGTTAAGAAAAAAGATAACTGTAACCAGTCATTTAGTGGAACAAAAGCCCACATTCACTGTTCAGATGCCTGAAGAGAAATAACGTAATTTCATTTTGGATTGGATTTGTTTTATATTTATATGTTTAGGTGAAAAGAAAGCTGACTATCGCAGTTTACCTAACAACAGTATATCAGCACTACTCTATTGAAAGTACCTTAATTATAAATTTGCATTCTAAGCTATTGGTAATTGAAATAGGTACCTTTCCACCCTAATTTCTGGTTCATACTATGTATTGAATAATATATTCGGTTGTTTAACTAAAATAAATTATTCAGTCATCATCTCATAGTAACTTTAGGTTATAGCAAATTTGGATTGTGGTAAGTGATAGAATCGAGGAAGCTATTTTTGTCATATTTAATTACATTCTATCCTTAATATTCACTCTGGCAATCAAAATCAGTACTTTGAATGTCGATAGATTACTCACTTAGCTGCGGAGTGTAGAAAATAATTAGTTTATGCGGCGGGTATAAAGTTATATGTAAAGGTTTCAGTTTTCGCTCTATTAATATTACGTAATCCATTTGATCGGGACAAGCATATGTCATTTGAGACCGTTCAAACAAAGTCTTTAATACTGTCAACGGAAAAGCTCAAACCATCACACAAGATATTAGGTCCATCGCAAATATATATGAGTAGTTGTATTATTTCTGAATAATAATTTTTCACATTTAAAGGGCATGTTTTTTTAAAATATTCTTGTGACTCAGTGAAATATAAGATACTGAGAGTAGCGATTATATTCGTTGTTAGTAAGTACATTGTCAGTGCATACTATTCACCATTATCATACCCATCTATCAGGTAGTTACAAGTGGATAATCATTTCGTTAAAGAATTTACGATTGAGCGTCAAGTAACTCAGAACACAAATCTAAACCCTCTTATTAATTACACTTAGTTAACTAACAGTAAGAAAAATGTAAAGACGTATAAAGACTACACACTATGTTATCATTTCATAATGATTTAAAAGCACAAATCAAGTGAAGTCTTCCAAGTATTCACTAAGGCATATGATAATGATAATCTCTAAGGCTTTCTAACAGTTAATCAGTTCAATAGTGTAAAACAATCCATTTTCTCCAAAGAGAACATTTTAAAACGATTAAAAAAGGAGAAGAGATTCAGAGACAATTTTATTTACAAAATAATGGTATTTAAAATCAATCGACCAAATCGATTCACTATCCATAACATAAACTTGATTATATAAAAAAAGTACACTTAAAAAAGACAGAACACAATGAAAAAAAAGTCGTGAGAAGAAGACGAAGAAGAAGAAGAAAGATAGGCGAGGTTGCAGTGAATATTTCCTTTTTGTTACCAACTGGGTGTGGTTAACTGTATACACACAAAAATGTAAAAAAAAACGCTAAGCGTTGAATAATATACATTTTAAAGTGTTAAAAGCTCTTGTTTATTTCAAATTATGCAAATCATGTAATCATAAAGAAATGAATAGTGAATTTAAACAATTGATGATTTGTCATAGTTTCTAATTGAATCATTAGTAAGTTTCATAAAATAATAATGAATTCATATACAGATTAATAGTGACTTTCTAAAATAGAGTATTCCACTTTTTATAATAAGGAATAACATATTTTCTGGAAAAAATGAAATTTAATTGAAGGATAAGAATCCAAGGAAACATAAATACACTCTGTTTATTTTGATTAGATCAAAAATAATAAAACAGAAATGGTTGCATCAATCTAATTCAATAGTTTAATAAAGAAACGTTTTTTTCCTTCTTCTTTTTAAAAAATAAAAAAAAAATTCAGTGATTTCATTCATCTATTTGTTGATCAGTTATTGATTCATAATGATCATGATCGGATTCAACTAATCTAAATGTTTCTAAAAATTCATTGAAATCAATTAAACCATCTTTATTAATATCAATTGAACGTGCCATATCCATTACTATTTGTTCGTCGATTTTTGTCCATTTCGGTAAACGTAAACAAGCTTGTTTAAATTCATTTAATGAAATTCGACCTATATATGTTTGTGTATTAGAAAATAAAGCATCAATTCAATTAATTATCTAAATTGAGATCATGAATTAATCTGAGTTAGATAATCATGAAAAATTTAAAAGTAATGAATGGAACTCTTCGGTACTGGGTCTTCATGAATCGGACTCACATAATTAAGTTCAAATCAACTTGCAGTTAACTTTGTCGAATATGAGGAAGTTACCCAATGACGGTAGTGATAGATAGTCGTTCAATATGGTGAACTGATGAAAGTTAGGCTTGTACAATATTGGATGCTGGCTCATTGGTCTAGAGGTTGAGAGTTCGTGTGCAAGGTAAAAGATGTTGGGTTGGAATCCCGGTTGCGGGGTTGTAGCTGAGCTCTGCCAGATTTTCATGCTACGAACAAACGATTATTTAGTGCTTACAGGCTTTCAATGGTACTCTTACTTACATCTGTTCGTGATCTCAGTAAAATTTAATAGTCTACACAACCCTTTACTGTTAAAGATAATGAGTTAAAAGTATGCTATCGTAAAGTACTGACTGATAAAAACGTGTGGTTTTGATCGTCTTATCACTTGTGAATTGGAGATTATATGAAGAGAGCTTTCAATTTCATTGTCCAAGGTCTTGTCTTATTAAGGATTTACAAAAAATGTAAGTTTTACATTAGATTTTTCTACGGATAAATTTAGATGGACTAGAATTCATTACTTTATGACCATTTTTATCGAGTGTTTGTGTCAGTTCTGATTTAGTATATGTCTTAGATCAAACAGGAATTATGTTACTAAGTGTTTAACTCATTCAGTAATAAATTGAAATAAATAAGCATTTTTGTCAGTTTTGAGTTCACTAAACTGAATGATTCAGTTGCAGATATCTTCATATTGTTCATAAACAACATCAACTCCTACTTCAAATAGAAATTAGAACCTTTAAATGATTTCGGGAATGCTGAGTCGGATCATTTCTACGATCCAAATGACCATCCTACCTAATGTCGATTTTCTGAAATTCCGATAAGAATCATGAAATATCTCAGAGTCAATATTGCTCACGAATTAATATAATATCTTGGACACATTTAATCAGGCCCAGTAGACATAATAAAGACAGAAGATGAATCCAATACCATCTACAGATCTTAACAGGCTTGGTGGGCTGGTGTCTGATTAAAACTCGGCTCGGTTGGCTCTACCAACTTGCGTCATCTGTGATGCAAAGGAGTTATCCATTTATAAACCAAAAGATAAGTTTTCTGATTTATATATATGAAGCACGGACATTAAGAATCAAGGATATTCATAGGTTACTAGTGATTGATCATAGATGTCATTAAAGCATTGTTTGTTCACTGTAGATTTGTTGATTTATTTATTATCGGATGTATACATATTTCAAAATGTAGTATATCTTATGAAGTTAACTTACCTGAATTATCTTTATCCATTGCTCTAAAGATTCCTTCAAGTACATCACGAAATTTATACATTTCTTCAGTGACTGAAGGTGGCACCTTGTTTCATTTGTAAATAAACAGTATTTTTTTTAATAAAATTGATTAAACAAGAAATTTCAAAACTTATGCACGCACTAAAAAATTTGTTTACCAACTAGAAGACAATTTAAAGTTTATCTGTGTCGAAAGATAACTGAGTATGGAAGTTAGAATGATAAATGAATAGTGAAATTAATTATAATATCTAAAATCATAAAAAAAGGGCTACAATGCAACAGATTATTTACTTCATATTGAATTCCAAGTTACTTTTCCTTAGATAAATTGACTCAATAAATACACTTACAAAGTAGATAACTACATTGACTGATCATTGAGCAGTAACTAATCTCTATGTGTTGACCAAATTCTATTGATTAGGTTTTAATATGGCTACTAATCTAAGTGACTCAATGTCAAATGTTCTTTATTCTTTCTGTTTGATGGTTGAACATCAAACCTTATTTACTGCAAGTTTCTATTTGAGTTGAATAGGAGTTGGCAGTAGAGTTCAGAATGCAGTTTTTTTTCTGTTTACGGCCCATCATTCGGATGCATCAAGGTTAAAAAAAATCAGTAAGTAAATGGCAATATTAAAGATGTGTTTATGCCAAAAGAGACTAATCAATCACAGTCTTACACATCAACAAAAGGAAAACAAAAAAAACTTACAGATAATTTATTACGGGTATATATCATTACCATGAAGATCAACTGCAAGAATTTAATGGCAACTAACTTTTATCTTTAAAGTTACCATGAAATTAGAGTGTTGGCAGCAACCAATCTAAGACAGATACAAACTATAAACCGAGTCAATCTCTACAAAATTCTTTTGACTAAGATATATTAGCAAGCTCACCAGTGACATATTGTCAGATGTTTCTGAAGCTCAGTAAGAAGTTGTAGCTGGTGTATTTCAGACAAGTTGAGGGTAAAACAGATGTTTCTTATGGCATAGAATGATTGTCGTATCATTTAGTTGATTGATTAAGGTCGTTATTGCAACAGAATGCTTCCAATGCTTAACCGTTCATCATGGGACTTGAAGGTCCCCTGGTTGACCGTCGTTGTGCACAACTGAGAAGTCTTATGCTCGTACTCGACCGTTGTTGCTACCTTGACGTGGTGGTCGGGCTTGCCTATCGTGATGAAGCAACCGAGCTATACTGGCTGGAACAACTGTTCCTCAAGGTCCTACCATGTCAGACAGGTCGGTTGAAGAGCGGTAAGACTAAAAGCAACAAACCCAAGGTCCGAAGGCGAAGTCGTACTGCTGACTGTACAGAGGTGTGACAGCAGTAAGGTGTTTCCTTCAGACAACCAGCATGACAGCGATGCTGCCTTCCCACAAGGAGGGGTGGGGTTAGAAAAGGTCGAACCTAAAAATGCACACCTCGCCTAATCCCACGGATATCCGTCTCCGGCGGTAAGGTCTCAATAAGTACGGAGCTAACACAAAAATTACCCATAAAAAGGTCGTGTGTGACCGACCTCAAGCAGTTGTCCCTTGGGCACTGCGGTCACGCTCTCAGGTCACTAAGACCACCTTTAATCCAAATTCCTTTTCAGGTACCCCCAGAACAACCCTTCCACGGTGTGGGCAACCGGGAAGTGAAAACCGCCCTCATACCTCTAACAGCACTCAAGACCACTGTATCTATAATCAACCTTCCTCTTCAATTCCTATTATTCCTCCTACATCAACTTTCAACTTTAAATTTCCTCTCTCGGCTTTCACCTCAAGTGTCACCATAGCCAACGATTCTAGTGCGCAAAATACTGTCCCAAGTCTACTGAAACCTCGCTCCAAACTACACTTTGGAGCCTTCAACGTACGAACCCTATGTCAAATCGGTCAGCAGGCTTCCTTGGCTAAAACCCTAGAGTCTCTTACCATTGACGTGTGCTGTGTCTCCGAAACACGCATACAGGATTCCAGTGTGGTCATTCACTTGACCTCACCTCGGCAAAACGGAGAGCCAACGAGGTACACCCTTCGTGTATCTGGTGACCCGATGGCAAGTTCTCGTGGACTGGCAGGTGTAGGCATAGCACTAAGCATGAGGGCCGAACAAGCACTGCTAGAGTGGATCCCCGTCAACAGTCGTCTATGTGCTGTTCGGCTGAACGGCTCCGTAAGAACTCGGAAGGAGAGGGACATACGTCGTTGCCTTTTCGTCGTCTCTGCCTACGCTCCCACTGACTGCAGCTCAGATGATGTAAAAGACGAATTTTACAGAAAGCTGTCCGATCTTCTTCAGAAAGCTAAACGCTCAGACATAGTACTCGTAGCAGGTGATTTTAATGCTCAGACAGGCAGTTTAAACCAAACAGAAAGGCATTTAGGTGGATATTTTAGTATTCCGACACAGCGAACAGATAATGGTGATCGTCTGCTGCAGCTATGCTCAGACAATCGTTTATTTTTAGCAAACACAAATTTTAAGCATAAGGAGAGACATCGTCTAACATGGCGACCCCATACACCAAACCAACGATGGACTCAAATAGACCATATTGCCATCAGTCATCGTTGGAGAGGGTCGGTAGAAGATTGTCGCTCATTCTGGAGTACCTGCTTGGACTCCGACCATGCTCTAATACGGGCACGTATCTGCTTGCGCCTCACTGGACGCAAAAAAGCCACATTAAAAAGACCCGTTAGAACTGAGTTAAGTAACGAGAAAACCAAAAGTAGGTTCCAGGAACAACTGAGGTCACACTTAGGTAGTTGTGAAGACGAGGCTGACCCAGATGTTGCTTGGAAGGGCATACAATCAGCTGTGGAAACAGCAGTGAAATCTATTAGTGACTTAAACCACAGAGTTGTAAGGAACCAGTGGATTTCTTCAAGGTCTGTCACACTGATGGATTCTCGCAAACTCGTCCCATCATGTTCTGAACATGATGAAGAGCGAAAACAAATCAGATCTAGGTTAAGAAAAAGTCTGAGAAACGACCGTGAGCAGTGGTGGGCATCGAAAGCAAAAGAGATGAAAAAGGCGGCGACTATAGGGAACACAAGACAGCTTTACAGACTAATAAAAGAAACTGGAATTAATAAGTCAAGTGTAAGTGAGATTATATCGGAAAAAGACGATACGATATGGATTGGCTCCAGAGGTCTTTAAGGATGGTGGTCCAATTTTAGCGATTAAGTTGACTAATATTTTAGCTTAGATCTGGGAATTAGACTTTATCCCATGTGACTGGTCGCAATCACTTATCGTCCCAATATATAAGAAAGGGTCAAAATCATCCTGTGACAACCACAGAGGGATTAGTTTAACAAACATAGTATCTAAAATACTGGCCTCGATAATTATCAAACGCCTAACTAAGACTCGTGAACTACAAACTCGAGAGAACCAAGCTGGCTTTAGACCTGGTCGTGGCTGCATCGACCACATATTCACCATTCGTCAGGTTCTAGAACACAGGCATACTTATCGGCGTCCGACGATGGTGGTATTTCTCGACTTAAAAGCAGCATTTGACTCGGTAGACCGCGAGACTCTGTGGCAGTGTCTGTCATTGAAAGGCGTACCTCAGAAGTACATAAACCTTGTGAAGGCTCTTTACTCGAACACTACTAGTCGAGTCAGGGCTTATGGCGAACTGTCATCTACTTTTGCAACCTCAAGTGGTGTCCGTCAAGGCTGTCCACTTTCTCCATTTCTGTTTAACTTCATCATAGACCTATTGATGGAAATAACATTCTCGTTGACTGAATTCTCGGGTATTGATCTCCTTCCAGGAGGTCCACTTATCGACTTAGAATACGCAGATGATGTAGTCCTGTTTGGTGAAGACGCTGACAAAATGCAGAGTCTTCTGGTAGCACTAAGCAACAATGCCAGAATGTTTGGGATGCGCTTCTCTCCCTCTAAATGCAAGTTGTTGCTTCAGGACTGGTCTCCGTCAACACCTGAACTAAGGATAGGGAGTGAAGTAGTTGAACGCGTTGACAACTTCACTTATCTTGGAAGTCTGATCAGCCCTAATGGGTTGGTGTCTGACGAAATCTCAGCACGGATTCGAAAAGCTCGTTTGGCTTTTGCCAACTTACGTCACCTATGGCGAAGGCGAGATATCCGTCTATCATTAAAAGGACGAGTATACTGCGCGGCAGTTCGTTCTGTTTTACTTTACGGCAGCGAAACATGGCCCTTAAGAGTAGAAGACACCCGTAAGTTACTAGTATTTGACCACAGATGCCTTAGAAATATTGCTGGCATCTGCTGGGATCACCGGGTAAGTAATAGTGAGGTTAGACGCAGGGTATTAGGGAATGATAGTAAATCAGTTGATGAGGTTATGAATCTTCATCGACTGAGATGGTTGGGCCACGTATTACGTATGCCTGAACACCGATTACCACGACGTGCAATGCTAACCGGGGTAGGGGATGGTTGGAAGAAAGTTAGGGGCGGCCAAACCAAAACGTGGCATCAGTGCCTGAAGTCACTAACTTCTAGTCTGAGCCATGTTGGTAGATGCAGACTACTTGGTTGGGGTCCGCGTGACTTTCGTAACCAATGGTTGGAGACTCTTGGTGACATGGCTCAGAATCGATCACAATGGCGTCGGTGTATACACTCCCTGTCTTCCCTTAAACTAAGAGACTAAAATAACTTCATTCTTTCTGTCTACGAACTAACTCTTTCTTCCTATACTATATCCTTATTGCAACCTTTTACATAACCACTCCTATGAATCCGCTGTTCATCTTGCTGTGCTAATGAGGTATGGCAACCTGGACCGATGCACATATGTGCCTGGTCCTACGTTGTAGCTGACTGACTGACTTATGCTCGTATCAAATAGCCATCAGATGCTTACTGGTATTTGATTCTATCCCAACTGAGATCAATCTGTGACGATTACGACTTACAAATATATGTATATATAATAATTCCATTAACAGAGTTCACACTAATTTCGTAGTTACCATGATTTCAATGGAAATAAACACTTCATGCTATGTATTAGAAATATAAAATTTCACGAACTAGAAAGCTATTCAATCCAGAATCCATTCTTATCAAAACATAGAAATTATAAGGTTAAATATAACATTGATAAATGAAGATTATTTGATATGTTTTCGGCTTATAGGCAGTCTTAATGAGATATACTTGATTATTTCCCTGTTTCAAAATAGCAGCCGGTTAGATACCCTATTTTGTACAAAGAATGACATGGTGGAGAAGATTTGTAGATCAAGTGGATGATTTTGATGGAGTTGTATCCTCTGAGCTAAATGGTTTGGCGGTAGAGCCTTCATTGTTATTCTGGACGACATCATCAGCACATTTTTGAGTTTAATTGCCTGTTAAGAATTACTGAGTATAGAAAATAAATGGTTTCAAGGTGATAACATTTCAGGCATTTGAACAGAAATATAGATGAAGACAAGGTATTCTAAAATTCATCAACAAACGCAAGTGAATACAGCTGGTGTAGCAACAGCCATTACAGCAGTCGGTCTCAGTGAGGAAACTTTCACCTACCTGGGCAGCATCATCGATAAACAAGGAGGATCACTTGCCGACGTAAAGGCAAGGATTGGTAAAGCAAGGGAAACATTTTTACAATTGAAAGACATATGGAACTCAAAGCAACTGTCAAAGAACATCAAAGTCAAAAGCTTCAATACGAACGTCAAGACAGTTCTACTGTACGTAGCTGAAACTTGGAGAACTACCAAAATCATCATCAAAAATGTACAAGTAATTATAAACACTTATCTACTCAATATACTGAATGTCTGTTGACCAGATACCATCAGTAACAGCCTACTGTGGGAGAGGACAAACCAGCTCTCATCTGGAGAAGGAATTAGCAAAAGACATTGAAAGTGGATAAGACATATACTGGGTAAATCATCAAACGGCATCATGAAGCAAATGCTAGCTTGGAATCTTGAAGGGAAACAAAAATGAGAAGGATCAAAAAACATATTGCTCCGGGAATTGGAAGCATATATCAAAAGACTGAATAGTAACCGGAAACAACTGGAAGAGAATGGTCAGGACAGCGTTCAACTGAGAATGCTGGTGGGGGGCCTATGCTCTTCCACGAGGGGTAACAGACATAAGTAAGTTAGTAACATAATGTTAAAAAATATTTATCTTTAATGTTACCTTTGATGGGGTATTATAAGTAGTAAGTTTTTGAAATGTTGTTAAATATTCTACTTGATTTGGTATTTTAGATGTAACAACTAAACGTGGTTGAAGTGTACTCCATGGTAACTTTAAATCTAACACTTTTTCCATTGCTTTACACCATTCTAATTTAGAAATTCTGCCTAAAATTTAATAAACACAAATAATATAAAAGAAAATTTCTTTTCTTTTATTGAAATAAAATTCGATTAGTTATTTTGTGATCAAAATTCTACAAATCTATTTTAAGACAGTTTAATTCTAATAGTTGAGATCATGTGCTTTGTGGTCTGGTTGGTCGTCTATTTATTCATGTATCCTTTTAAACTAGTCTGAAATCGGGAATAGATCGCATAGTGTTCCAGTTGACTTGTCTTCTCTTTCTCGCGTGCTTGTCAGCCAATCAGGTGGTAGAATAGTTGTCGTCTCTTTACACTAAACAGTTGGTGTCACTTCGAACTCATGCATACTAGCCTCAAGGTTAAGCCAGTCAGCTTAACGCATCAAGATCTTAATCTAGATTAGACAAGTTATCCTTCACAAAAGTTGGTAGACAGATCAAGGACGTAACAGTAACATAAATAAGACATTTTCATTGTAAACAGTTCATTCAGTATCATAAGATGTGACATTCTGATTATAATACAGAAATTTCGTTTGATTTTTGATTTGTGTATGGATTAGTTATAGCTGTGTTGTAGATCAATCATCATGGACTGATGTCAAGATCTTACTAAGTTTTTTTCTTTTTGCCCAACATATTTATGAAATATGTATTATGGAACAGTAAAAGAATATTAATCTAGCACTCTTGATGATGAGTGATCTGAAGATTGTACGAACTGAATTAGTGTTAATACAGCCAGTTAGATATGTAGCTCTTTTGTGGTCGAATTCATCAACAACATTTCAAAACATTGTTTCATCAATAAAGTGTACGTTATGATCGAGAGATTAACGTTTAAATAAAACAAAGATTCATTAAAACATTGTTTAACTACTTGTTTTATTTTTCAGTAGTCCCTTTGGTAATTGTTTATGATGCAATTAATTTTGATGAAACAATCAAGCATAACATATGATTCAAGATGACGCCGAATTCTTTTTATATAAATTAGACACTGATTTCTTTCATCTACTTTAAAATAATGGATTCCTTAAAATTTACAAGATTAACTTATTATTAGTTTAGGATATTGTGGTGAGTGCTACTTATGTCGACATAAGTAATATATAACGTCAATCATAAATGGAATGCCTGACAAAAGAAGGTTGAGAAGATCGAATAGAAGAGAATGGAAACAGAGAGTAATTTGCATAGAAATAAAGGAACAGTAAAGGACATTTTGCAAATGCAGGATTGAAAGTATGTTTTTGACATTTAACCAATAGTGTTTTCGTTCATCACAAAATATGCTTTATTTCGTCATAGTTAGATTGCTGGAGATGTTTGTTCATTATGGAAATAGCTCTTATCACGAATTGAAATCAACTTAAGAACTATTAGTGATGAAAGTTACTTAAAGAGTGGCTACAACAGTCTATGAACTTTATTAATTATCATGTGACTATTAACGAACAGCTTTGAAATTGGATTCTAAAGTTTTAAAGGAAAATCATGACTACCGTAATAAATCAGTGAAATAATGGAGAACCAAAATATAAAACTACATTGATTGTTCATAGGAATTTGTTACAAATTGACTAGAATCGAAATTGTGGACAATTAAATTCCAACACAGTTTATATTGAGGATATAATGCTTGTTAAAAGTTCTGAAGAATTCAGGCTTGATCAAGCTCTAAAAATGTTATGATAGTACTATATTAGAACTAAACAACAGTTCTTTATCCCCTCAATTTTGAATGAATTATTAGTTAAAATTAATTAATCATGAAAATTATCTTTGAAATTTATATTATTAAATCAAATATTTCAAAATGTCATTAGTTTAGTATAAGGGGGTTCGTGGAATTGTTTGAATTTTAAAGCTTACCACACAGATTGAAACTAGTCAGCTAACCTTTGAAAGGGAAGAAACATTGCTTAGATACTCAGTACCAGTATGATCCTCCTGAATAATGTGTACTTACTATTCAATTAGGGATCATATATAGGAACCTTAATTTATCGATCGTAATAATAATAATAATAATAATGGCATATATGTTAATATGAGAAATAAACATTACCAGTATTTGTAGGATCAAGTGATTGAAATTCTCTTTTTAATTCTGTTGAATAAGCACCGATTTTGTTTTTTAAATCCGTTAATGCTGATTCTTCAGCCCAACTAACTCTATTTGAAAAAAAGTAATGAAAAGCAAACAAAAAAACCCCCTATGTATTTAGGCGAAACTATTCATTTTTAGATATCACTTGTTTATAAAAAATAATTTTAGAAAAATATAATATTAAAAGTTACTAAAAACAATGGGTTAGTTACAAAAGTTATAAATGTTTCCTCCAATTATTCTGTGATAACAGGAAATATGTTATAAGTGGAGATGGATAGCAGCTAACAGTGGGAATCCATAAGGGGTGTTTTGACATATTTGGATATACTTACATCCCAGAGTTGATGCTCATTCCGAGATTCGAACCCCATACTATTCAATTCAAAAGTTATCGCGTTATCCACTTAGCTACTAAGTCTAGATAGCCACAAGCTTGTGCAATGGGGTGAAGTTTAATTCATTTTTACATTGGTTGTTTGAATAAGAGACTGATCGATTGCAGTTTTAAATATCAGTGGGATGATTCAAAATAAAACCTTTCTGAATACTTTCTTCACTTTTAAAGAAGATTATTATGAGGTAAAGATGAATTATAATTCTAGTAAGAATAAATGTCAGAAAACATAATAACTAATACCGTACAATGTTCAAACAATCAAATCCAATGATCAATCATGTAGATTTAATTTGGATGTAGAGTTAAATATATTTTAAAGTGGGAAAGTAAGATTCGACAAGGGATCGAAAAAACCTTTACTATTTGTTAAAATTTGTTTGAACCTTTGAACAACTTAAAACATTAATAGTAAATGAACTATCGGTTTTGAAGTGTTCTCATGTCTTATTTATGTCTTTGGTACTCATGTTTCTGCTCAAAATATCCGTAATCATCCTCTGTACATATAGGAGTAAGAAAATATTTTTAATTATAGGCGAGAGTAGAGTACTTTAAAAACCATATATACATGTATATAACTCCTTACTTTTGTCTTAGTGTTTTGAATTTTTTCTGTCCACCAGTTACATATTGTATTATTTGTATAGAACCATCAACAGAAATTCTAGCAATGGCGCCACGATTTGAACCATCTGTATAATAGTTTGATGCTGAGAATATAGTTAATAATTGTTTATTATGTGACCATTCAAATCCTTCAGGTTTACATTCATGTGAACGAATAAGTAGGCTTAAATTATGTTTATTCAAAAATAAGTTTGTAATATCAGGACCAAATGAACACCCTAAACCACGCCTTTCATTCATTAATAATCCTGATTGTGTTTGTGGATCACTCCAAAGTAAATCTTGATACTGTAATCACAAGGTAAATGATGAAAAAAAAAGTACATTCCAATTATAAGTAATTTTAGGCTAGTTAGTAGAGATGATTACATTTTGTGGTTAACATGACGCACAGACGTTACATACACAACCATTCAAACTCAAGATAAACTAGAAAACTACTTCGTCCTAATGTGCAACTCATCAGCAGTAGTATCCACAACCCTACTCAAGACGATGAGATCTCGTGACTACCGCATAGCTTTTAACTGGTATTTAAATATTTAATCATTTAACTTCAATTGTTAACATGTGTAATGTTCAATTGGAAGAGAAACGTTTGTAACTATGATATCTTTAGCATTTTTTCTTAAAAAAACATTACAAACAGAAAATGAGATAGTGGAGAAGATTTGTAGCTTAGGTGGGTGTATTTGATGAATTTTTGTTTTCTCGGCTGGATGGTTTGGCCGATGATAGCTCCACGACCAAACCATCCATCCGAGAAAACAAAACTCCATCAAAAAACAAACAGAAAATGCATAGCTTACTCCACTTAATACAATTTATTAAATAACATTCATCCTATTCAATTACTACTGATATAAATCACAATTCACCATTATTATTTCTAAATACTTGAAATGATATTTTATAGTAGTATGAACCATAGAAAGCACAATTATTTTGTGTGAAAAAAGTTGAAAGTCAGTTGTATATATAGTGCAAATTTCGTGTAAAATTAAAATTTTCGGATTAGTAAATTTGTGGTGTATGCTGGTTATGCCGACAGATATAATACAATTGGTTGTCGTCATCTATGTTCTCGTTCATCACAACCTTGTTGAATAATTATGAATTTATTAGTTGAAATCATGAGTCAATTGAAGCTAGACCAACATGGAAAACCTGGAAACACTGAACGGCCGTTTCGTCCTATTATGGGACCCCTCAGCAGTGCACATCCATGATCCCGCCCAGGACCTATCAGTCTCGCGTGTGAGCGCTTAACCACCAGATCACTGAGCCGGCATCCAATGGAATTAATGTCTAACTTCAATTAATCCACGAAATTGAGCGACGCATCCACTATTGTCTTCAGTGAGTTACTATCTCACAACTGACCCGGTTGAACTCCACTGGTCACTGCTTCTCACTAGAACTCCAGAAAATACCTCCTGATGATTATTATCAGAAATTATGAATTTGTGATTAACTGTTCGAATAGATAACTAGTTTTGTTTATAAAATCATTAGAGAGGAAAAATGCATCATAATTTTCTTCCCAATTTTTATTTACCTTACCTGTTTTTTACTATCACTGTTTGAGATTAATTCATCCACTGGTTTTAAAAGTGTAAGGTACTTTTGTATTTGATTAAATATATAAAGCAAAAAAGAAAGACGGGAAGAAATTAAGTAATAAATGACATTACTTTTAGTTTTTAATCTTTTTGGTACAAACCATTTATTTGATTGTCAGTCAAGGTGCTTTATTGAGGTAAGTTAGATCGATTTCGGACTTTATCTACTGTGACTAATTCTTGAACATGATTACACGACCTGAATATGATGATGATCCACTTAAGCTATATCGGGTGAAACACTTGTTCCTTTAAGCTGTACCATGGCAGACAGATTTCTTGGAGAACGGTACAGCTGAAAGCATAAGATCATTATCAGTGGGCGAAGTCGCAGTGCCGACTTTACAAATGTATGATAATAGTGAAATATTCTCAAACAACCAGTCTCTGCAGTGACGCTGCTTCGTCACAATCAAAGTAGGGGATTAGAAAAGATTGATCAGAAAAGCAACAAACCTCTGGCAGGTTTCAGGATTAACTTGTTGACAAAGTCCTTGATGTCCACTATTGACGCGATGGTGAACATATAATCTGGAAAAGGATGTTCATATTTTGCGTGCAGAGCTGATATCATCTATATTTTTAATGTAATATAAATCACCTGAGTCGCCCATATTCAGCTAACGATCAGAATCTGTAAATACGTTATGATTTTTATCTTCCAAGTCGAAAATACTTTCACAAGACTCAGAGAAACTATGGTTGCACCCACTCTTAGTGGTGAGACGTCAAGACTAGTCAAGAATTTCGTGTATCCATTTCATCGTTGATTGTGACATAGGTGACAACATCAATTCTTGCAAGGAAGGTGGTATAAAGAGTAGTGGTGGTTTGGACTAGCTTTTGCACCATCATCATGCTAGTTTAGCCACAAAACATAGGTTTTAAAACACTGAAATGATGAATCCTCTTCGATCCATTTGTAATATCTGACTTCAGAAAGCTAAGGGAATTTACAGACTTCACTTGATTATTGATGTCCCAAAAAGGATTGTCTTAATTCTTAAGCAAAGCTATCTAGTTTGTCCCAAGGCTTAGTTACATGTGCTTAAAGGATAAAGCGGAGATGATAACTCATTGTATATTTTCGTCTTAAAACCTCGTCTGCTATAAATTGGTCATAGTTTTGACATTCCGTCATCACGGATGCCATGTCACACATTATTTATAAACACAAGAGGCTGTTAAAAATCACAACGGCGATCAATTTCTGTCATGTGTATGGAAAACCTTTACATTGACGAAAGTATTTCTTTTCTTTGTTCTTAACATACAAATCGTTACTTCTGATCCATTTATCATGATAATGTTCTCTCTTTTTATTCAAACTATTGGCATTTTAGATTGATATCATGAATGGATCAATGTTAGACCACCACGAAAAATCTGAAAGCACTGAGTGGCCGTTTCGTCGTACTTTGAGACTCCTCATCAGTGTCCATCCACGATCTTGAACATGAGACTCGGACCCAGGACCTTCGGTCTCGCACTCGAACGCTTAACCTCTAGACCATTGAGCTGGCATTCAACAGTGCTAATGTCTAACTTCCACCAATCCACGATATTGAGCGACCGTCCACCATTATCCTCAGTGAGTTACTGCCTCATAACAGATATGGTTAAACTTCATTGGTCACGACTTCTCACTCATTATTTTTAGATTTCTAATGTATCACCTATATTATAGATTATGAATAAATCAGTATGAATCCTGAACCAGTCTCACAGTGAATGAAAGTTATAATCAGAAGCTATATGTCACTTTGTATAAATTAAATGCTTCTTTCAAATTCAGAACTTGTAAAATGTAAATGTAAACTATAGAAAACGTAGACAATCGTGTAAAGTGAAGTAATACGCTTATTGCTTTTTTGTTGTTAGTTAACTTTTTCCTATAAAACTTTAGCTAATATCTAATTAGATATTATGTCATGTATACAATGGGGTGTAATGCAACAAATCTACCATACATGTTCAAAAATAAAGACAGTTTCTTGCATGTATGATACAGCAAGTTAGTAAAAATTGACGGTATTTATCAAGGAAGAGTAATAAAGTTAATACGTAATGCTTTATATATTTATATATATCTTTATGTTATTAGAATAAAAAAGTTTCAACTATTGGGACACCATAGAACTGTAAACACTATAGATGAATGGAGTATTTATATTACTTATTTACCTTATTTACCAGGTATAAATTAATGTAACTGTCTTCCAACTAAATATTGTGAAGTAAATGATACTACTCGTTTGCCCAAACTGAAATAGGCGGTGTAGAAAAGTATGAACTGACAATTAATTGACTGAAAGTTAAAAGCTTTAATCATTTAGCCATAGCTCCACTATTGAGAAAATTAGTAATACTATAATTTAACAAAGTTACTGTGTTATTAAACAAACAAACAGGCAAAAAATGTCACTAAACTATTCATGAAAAAAACCCATATCGATAAAACTTCTTACTTATCTTAAATGAGAAATTACAGCCCTGGGTAAATTATTCTAGCTTCTCCATAGATAGTCGATGTTATTCTTATTGGTTATCTTGTACATTTTCGTATAGTTTTGTTAATTCATCATTAGTGTCTTTAAATGTCATTATAAATATGTACATAATGGTACGTATGTGCATATCTATTTACTTGTATTTTATAGATTCTTTTACAAATATTGAATCACCTATTATTCACTGATTTTAGCTGAAATTCCATTTGCCATATTCATTCGCTCAGATAATCTGGTCACAAAATTGTCTGAGATATGCATATTGTAGACACTATTCGTATTGCTGTTTTTATTTCTAAGTTGTATATTTCACTAAACATCATCGTTTGTCATCAATAGATTTTATTTGTAGGCTATGGAAACATTAAAACTTACTGAGAATCTGTTTAAATTTCCTAATGTGTTCAAATCAGTTTCATCTGATATACCACCATGACAGACAAAAATTTTATCGTCAATTAATGTGGCCACCGGAAGATAACGATAAAATTCTGCAAAACATTTCACTAGCATACCAGCTGAAGACTAAACAAATAGAAATAAAATATTCATATATTCAAATATATATAATACGCTCTTCATACTTTTTAATATAACAATAACTATGAATACATGCAACGAACCAATAAACGGTATAAACAAAATTCAACATCAAATTTTGCATCTTGAATTACTTACTGACTTACACCTATTACTCCTCGTGAAGGGGTATAGGCTGCCCACCAGCACTCTCCAACCAATCCTGTCCTGAGTAATCCTCCCCAGCTCTTTCCAGTTGTTATTCTTCCTTTTCATATCTAATACTACTTCCCAACGTAATGTGTTCTTTGGCCTTCCGCTTTTCCACTTCCCTTCAGGATTCCAAGTTATTACAGGCCTCGTGATGCAGTTTGGTGATTTGCGTGATGTATATCCTATCCAACTCCAGAGTCTTTCCCTAATTTCCTCTTCAGCTGGAAGCTGGTTTGTTCTCTCCCACAGTAGGTTGTTACTGTACCTTCTTGATGTTGGTCGTAGTAGTTATCAAAGTTTCAGCTCCGTACACTAGAACTGTCTTGACGTTCGTATTGAAGATTATGACTATGACGTTGGTTGACAGTTGTTTTGAGTTCCATATGTTCCTCAATTGTAGGAATGCTTTCCTTGCTTTGCCAATCCTCGCCTTTACGTCTGCATTTGATCCTCCTTGTTTATCGATGATGCTTCCCAGGTACGTGAAAGATTCCAGAGTTTCGCCATCACATTTGATCGTGAATAGTAATTTGCTAATATAACATAATGTACTGGATGACTGTTTAAAGTTGAAAGACAAGTTTTAAGTTGTTATAATATTTTCAAAGACAACGAATTTGTTATAGACTTTATTTTATTTATTTATTGATGTGACTTCATTATAATAATGAAATGAATTTATTATTAATTTATACCACAAGTATATGGAACAATAGTTTTCAGCAAAATTATACGTTTAAGGATGAATTGGGGAGTTTCTCCGAAAAAAAAGATCTGAATGTGAAGTCCCTTTTTAACAAATAACTAGAGGGTTTGAATACCTCAAAAGTATTTCTTCATAGAGTACTGATAAATTTTAGAGTTTAGTAATTCTAGGGAGTTTGTTGGTTTTTCAAAGCTTTCTGATTGTAATCTTGTTAAAATATTGATGCAACATACCAGCCTGTGAGCAGATATTTTCATATTCAAGGTTTATTTTTTGTTTTTCTTAATAGTTGACAATAATTTATTTGAAACTCATTAATTTTCATAAAATCATCATTTAGTATATTCGTTAGTTACACATATAACATTATAGGTGAACTTATCATTATAAGTAAAGATGGATAGTGGCTAGCAGTGGAATCCAGGACGCGTGTTTCGTCCTAGTTGGGACTTGTCAGCTAGATGTGTCTGCATCTCAGAGTTGATGTCCACTCTGGTATTACTATGATATAAAAACGTTAAACTAGACATTGTTATTTGAGCTATTTGAAAAGAAACTTGATTAGCTATTATGTAACTGAATGATATAATTCTGAAGATACGTATACAACAACAACAATACTAGATCAGGAATACACTGATGTATCCAGTTTCATATATGCTTACTTTATACTTCTTTTGAATTTCCTTTATAAATCCATATCTAGAAGAGAAAAAAGAAATTGAAAATATTTAAAGATGAAAAATGTAGAGAGAGATTTCACCGTTCTCCAGACAACAATTACAAAATCAATTCATTATCTATTTAGATCAAGATTATGATAGAAATGTGGTCTACATTTGATGACGTAAATAGGTCCAATCTAAATAGAAAACGTCGAATAAGGGTCTCGATAATTTCTGAATCAGTAAAGTAACTGAAGAAAATTAGTAAACGATTAGAAGCAATAAAATTCAAAATGCATATTTCATCCTTTTGGGGACTCATCAGACAGATGCACCTCAAAAATCAGGAAAGTACAAACCCTTGCTAATAATTTTACACGCGTTAAACAAGTTAATAACTATCGAAACTCAAAAACTCAGTAGATGATGTATTATTATTTAGAGCAAAAAATATTTTGGGTCATAGTCCTTATGTAGACATCAGCACTGAGATGCTGGCACACAACTGAAGAGACTCAGATAGAATTAAATTTCTCAAGAACTAATGACGATTATTGTGTATGTTAACCAAGTGATCTTTCTCAACTAGTAAGCGCTATTATTAAAGACCAATATAAATAACTAACAAAAATTGAACTAAGGTTACGGAATGAATGGCTAGTGAAAAAATTAAGGAGAAAATATTGAACGAACACTTGTCTACAAGTGTCAACTGACTATTTGAAACATATTTGTATTTCCATCAATAATTCAGATAAACTTGTAACTTCATAGCTCAAAGACTTTTTATCCATGTTAAATGATAATGGGAGACATGATTCCTAAACAGTCATACTACTATTATGAGCGGACTGATCCTAATGAGATAGAGATCGTTTCTTCTTATTATGAGATAATGTAGCATGACACACCTACGAGTCGAATAGGGATCGGATCCAGGAGCTCTATACAGTGGAGCAATCGGACTATCGTGAAGTGGCTGAGGTTAGAAATGTGGGATTTTTGATTCTAATCAAGTGATCAAAGGATAACAAGCTCACTGAGAGACGCGAGGGTCCTAGTTTTAATCCGTGGAGAGATTGTGAGTACACGAATTTGAGTATTACACTTAAAAGTACAGAACAATTACCATATACCTTTGGTTAGCAATGGTTATTTAAGTCATGACTCAAGCAATCTTCGTATAATACTTTTAACTACCTAGTCACTGATAACGACAATTAAATAACTAAACATTAATGACTTACTGACAGTTTACATAAAGATCTTCATGGTTGCCTCTGTTTATAAATACTGAAGTTGGTCGAACCAACATTAAACATAAGATAGTTAATAATGTTTCTACAGATTTTCTACCTCTATCAACAAAATCCCCATTGAATACGTAAGGATTCGTTACATCTGGCATCCCGTTCTAAAACAATATGGATATAAAGCAAACATATGTGTACATCAGACAGAGAATAAACCATGTTTCTATAGGACATTTATATATGTAATGAATACTTCTTAAGTCAATATATCAAAGAACGTTGACAGTATAAAAATCTATTTTGATAGTGGTATGAATGTGATTTGTTATGGTTTACTATTACAAAAACACGTCCAGTTCAATAATTATGAGAACTGAGTCACTTGGGAAAAGCAACTACGATATCCACAAATTGTTGAGGGTTGTTTACGGGTGTAATCAAATTAATATAAAAAATAGTGCTTTTTGAATGCTATGTCAGGAAGATCATAATAAACTAATATAACACATATTGAACAACTGAAAAATTAACTTTTAAATGAAGTAGACGTTGATGATGTTGTCCAGAACAATTAAATCATCTAGGTCAGAGAATACAACGTCAAAGGCATTCAAATGAGCTGAAGATCTTTATCGTCATTATATGAAAAATTAAGTTGCACATCTAAACAAAATGGAGATTTCAAAAGATCACAAATTTTATATCATAATTGATTCTACTATTCTATTGAATATAGTCCAAGTAGTCTACAGAATCCTAACTAACTATTATGACTACTTCAGTTATGATTATTTCATCTTTTCACTGATACCATTCATGAAAAAAATTGACTAGAATAGATCTATATGCTTAAAACATTAGATACAGTGAGATTATCTACATCATACTAACTTTATATAAAATAATTTGAAGATCACTATATTGTCCATGTAGATCACCAACAACGGTAATATGTCGAGATATTGATGTTGATGCCATTTGAATATTTGGACGTGACATGATACATTGTCTGGATTCGCATAAAATTTGAAATACATATCTTGCGTGAAGTTGCTGAAAATATTATCAGAAAAATAATTCTTTTCATTGGGGAGTAAAGGTAGATTTTTAATATTAAAGTAAAAAGTTATGGGATATTGTTAGATATTATAATATCTATGTGACTTCAGTAGTTTTTGTTCTCGGATTTGTTTATTTTGTCATACTTAAGTTTGAAGATTGTGTAGCTAATACAACAAAGACCTAAAATACGAGGTCGTATACAGTGTCCCAAGAATATTATAAATCACATATCCTCATCATCATGAAGGTCATGCGAGTGAATGAATTGATGGATTAGAAATTAGACATCTTTGCCAAAATCAGTTTGTGTATTATTGCTTGGGTTTAAGTACAGTTCAAATAGACGATGAATAAGATAAATAAGTAAAAGACATATCGATCAACACACAAATCTATCCAGAAAATGTACAATCACAGGAGTGAATAATTATGCGAAGAAAAATAAATTTAAAAGCACAATAATACACGTTTAGTAGTCACGTTTTCCTCATTGAAAAATAAATGAATTCATATAGGGGTTTGCTGAAATATATAATGACTAAACGACAGTATTGAATCGTCTCGCTTTATTTTGAACTAACCAAAGTTGAAAAATGTGAATTGCTAGATTCAAACATCAGTAATTGATAGAGCTTTATACCCATTAAAAGACCTGAAACTAATGGGTTTATTCTTGAGTAGCATTGTGGAGTGTGCCACTTATGTTGACAGATGTAAGTAGCACATATCACCAATCGAAAGTGGGATACCTGGCAGTAGAAGTTTGCGAAGATCAAGTAGAAGAGAACGGAAACAGAGAGTGATGGCTGTGAAACTGAAGGAACAACAAAGTCGGAGACAAATAATAAACATTCTGCAAATGAAATACTGAGCGTATGGTATTCACATTTTACCAAATAACTCTGTAATTTCGTATTCAAATACATTTGGTTATCCTTCATGTGTGTTCTCATTCACTACAGGACCACTAATGCGCTGGAAGCATTATATGACATAGCTATTAAATTTATCTTGTTTCTTCAAGTAACTAAAGAAATCAACTTTGTCAAATTTTAGGTAACAGATCAATGTCAAGTTTGGGATACCATTGTTTTTATTTTTGCTATTATCTAGAAGTAAATCGATCTACGCTACTTAATATGATGTCATATAGCAATACGGTTGAACTGTTTCAGCAATATGATATTGAATGATAATACCAATTGGATTTCATTAAAAATGATGATATTTCGCTAAATAATATAAATTAGCTTATGACGATATATTCATCTTTATTATTAAAAGAAAGGAAAATTCTGTTCAACGGTATTATTGAAAATGCATTAATGGATAAAAAACAAACAAATAATCCTGAAATGGGAATCTGAATAAACTATGGAAACATTTGACAGTTAGATACATATCCACCATCTCATGATTGTATATTATAAATTGATTGTACAAGTGATAGTTTTCTGTTAAAAGCTTCAAGAAGTTCACCATAGGACTAGACAATTATGAATACATGATTATTATCTGATTGTTGCATAAATTTCTGTTCATGTTGATTTTAGTGTTCAGTATAACATAATTAGTGAATCAGAAAGTATTCAAAGCAGTTCTAGTTATGACTTTTATAGAGCTTTCTAGTTGAGAATAGTTCCGGGATAAAAAATTATGCATAAATTAAATATATCTCTACAAACTAGGTGATTAATAATAAATTTGTATTTACTAATTATGACAACTGAAAGCAACTCCTCAATGAAATTGTAATTCGATACTAGATAATCATTCAGTGGTTTAAACATCATGGACCTCATGAAATATGAATATCCTGGATTTTGTATTTTGTTCAGGAGACTCTGAGTGACATGACTCAGAATCGATCACAATGGCGTAGGTGTATACACTCTCTGTCTTCCCTTAAACTATGAGATTAAAATCGCTTCATATCTTTCTTTCTGTACTATATCCTTACATAAAACCTTTCTTTTATATATTACACCGTTGAGTTAACTGCTTCTATGAATCCGGTGTTTGTCTTGCTCTGCTAATGAGGTATAGCAACTTGGACCGATGCATATATGTGCCTGGTCCTACGTTGTAACTGATTGACTCAGGAACTACTGAAAAATATTTCACTAGAATATAAAATTTGTTCAGTACTCCTTGGATTCCAAGGTATTCATTTGCTGATATTATTTTTAATAAAGTTTATACTTAAATTTTCAGATGGTTGATATTATTACGAGTTACAGACTTTATTATCAAGGTACTGAATGTAAACTTCAACTATGAACTTGCTTACATTAAGCTAGAATAAAATTCATCTTGAAATGTGAACCTTTGGAAACATTTTAGGTCAAGGTAATATATCAATCATACCATAATGTTTAGTTTTAAATAAAATCACTAATTTGGGTGTGAATGTAATGAGAAAACAAAACAAAACAAACAAACAAACCAAATATCAATTAAAAGAGGCAATAAAAAGTTTGCTAATCTTTGATCATTACCCTTTTTTTATCCTGAATGGTTAAACCGATGTGTTGTATTTAGATACCAACTTATTCTTATAAAATCAAAAAGAAGTTTGATTAAAAAGACAACTAAACCTCTTAAATATGTGTATTTAATAAGTTACTTCTATCAAATAATTGTGATTGATTTCTTCATTATCACTCCGAAAATAGAACCACAGAGTGTAAAGTCAACAACTGGTGATATAAATAAAGTGAATAGATTAATTCATACCTATGATATCTATGATATTTGTTTTCCACATGTTAGAAAACCTGGTTAACAATTTGTTTATTCGACTAGTATGTAAACATCCAAATCAATAAGAATAGGTAGGTAGTAACAACTGAGACTGAGAAAGTTGGTGACGTGTGTTTGGTACCACCAGATTCCTCAAGATTATAGGTAAATCTTGATGATAAGTGTCAAATAACACAATACCGAGGTTCAAGAGTTCTTGTCACGTCAAAACATAGTGCGTCCTGTGTTGAGTCACTTCAACTATTAGCTATTTTCTCAGTATAGGGTTGTGGAGATTGTTAGGTTTTAATTGATATCATAAATCGATGTTAGATCACCATTAAAATTAATTTCCAGATTATTGTCAGTAAACTTTAATACAACAGGTTAGTATCATAAAAAGTTATGTACCAGGACTCAAGTCAATATTATGACTGTATGATATAACATGTGTTGAAACGTTTTATACCGATCTACCTAAATGTTGGAATGATCCAGGAAATTGCTTGCAAAAGATAAGCAAGCATCAGGAAACACTAAGAAGCGTTTCATCCAATCAGCGTTCACTTGGAGTTTTTGCCAAAGATATCACGGAGGCGAAGGTTTTAATTGGCTGGTTGCTGTACTACTACTATGTTTAGTAGCATTCCAGAATATTCTAGCAACCCAAGGGCATTTAAAATAATATAAAAAACCCTGTATTTTCTGTATTAAAATGAACCTTGGAGTAAACCACTTCTCGCATACTTTGAGTCTTCTCTCGTGTTCAGGTCGCTGTATAGTTCTAGCTTGGGGGTTACAGAATAGCTTAGGAGACGAATATAGCGTTCAATCCGCAAGACTTATCACTAAATTTCATTTAGTTTCATAGTCATCGTTTTTAATTTCAGTAGTATTAACATTAACCAGAAATTAAAAAGATAAACTGATAAATAAATTTTTTTTTCAACATATATTCATCAAGTAAAATGAATTACTCTGAGGAATGCCCTACTAAAAGAAGAAATTTTTCGTTGTTATCAATACTTCAATCATAGAATTTGTAGTTGAAATATTGCAGAAAGAAGCCATGAGAAAAGGAAAGCGAGGTGGACGAAAATATTTTTATTGCATTGTGGTCATGCAAAATACTTTCACAGTAGTAATAAAGTAAAATACGACTAATAGCTTGACAACCCCCTGTTATATATATATATATATATATATATATATATATATATATATATATAATAGGGGTTTTGTCAGGCAATAATCATTAAGATTACTTGAAGGTAAGCTGAGAATTTTCAAGTATAATTATTAGTGTTGTTTACTTGAATCTTCCGATTGATGTTTAGGACTGTAATTGATCAGTATCTAATTAACATATTTGCATCTTGTGCTGTCCTAAGCATCAATGAGAAGATTCAATTAAACAGCTCCAAATGGATTCAAACTTCACCCCACTGCACAGGCTATCAGGACTCAGTAACTAAGTGGATAACGTGGTAGCTTGTGAAGAGAAGTGTATTGGGTTCGAGTCCCTGAGTGAACATCAACTGTGAAATGCGGGTATATCCAGATGAAGAGTCACAAATGGGACAAAACATGAGTCCTGGATTCCACTTCTAGCCACTATCCATCTTTGCTTATAATTATTGGTGTTTAATTCATGATATCTGACTTCATTATGTTAGATATTCCGACATGATAAATGAATATTTCAACTTACGGATAGTTAATTAGCTAGTTATTTGTTTATGATGATATCACATCTTAAATAATAAATCTTCAGACACTTAAAAGTATTTTACACTTTCAAAATAAACAACTCAAGCTAATTACTATGATAATAATCGAAATATGGGTTTAGCATAATGAATTTATTTTCGCTAGTAAACATCAACAGTGCGGATTTTGTTACTGCATAATAATGAGGCGTTGATAAACTCAAAGTTATTTATTAGACTTTTATAGTTTATTATGGACATGTGTTATGTTTAGAGAAAGCTGACTTGGGATGAAAAAACGGACTGTTTCTATGAAACATTGAAAATCAGTTAACGTCATGATTGACTGTTGCTTTAAATTGACCATTTGTTATAAAGTAATAAATAAATTCTCATCACCTTATGTTATTTTCCACTTTCTGTATATAAGAAGCTTTTTTTATTTGAATTATTAAACACTTTGAGAGTTATTTATTGTTGACGTTGGAGGTTTGTAGAAATCATTGGATTTGAATACATTGCATTATGTGTTGTCCTTAATTAGACGGAGATTGAAAACCAGAAAGCACTGGAAAGTTGTTTCGTTCTAGTATGGAACTCCTTAGCAGTACTCATTCGCAACTTCTCAATTAACCAAACCATGGAATCTCAATCTCTCTCAGTGGTCCAGAAGTTTATTGTTAATGTGAGAAATTGAAGGTACTGAGTTTGGCTCCTTTTGCAGTTGCGGATGGGCATTACTCAGAAGTTTCAAACTAGAACAAAACAACTGGACAGTGCTTTTTGGTATTCAATAGTTATTTAACTAAGATCAATCCGTGATAGAATATGTGAAAACCAGTTGTTACCTTTTTCAATTTTTTCTAATTAGTAGATGTACAAGGACGAAATCACACAGGTGATTTCCAATGATAGAATGATCAATAAGCTCACAACCCATAATGATAACTACAATGTGCTCACTAGTGACTAGCTTCGTGAGGGAATTCTGGGAGTTCTGGTGGGAAGCCGTGACTAGTGGAGCTAATCCGTGTCAGGTAGAAACAGGTGTCTACCTCAGCGCAATGGAAGATGGTCGCGCGACTTCGTGAATTGGTTGAGGTTAGGCATTAACACAATTAGATGCCGGCTCAGTGGTCCAGTTGGTTAAGCGTTCGCGCGCGAGAGACTAGGGACCTTGGGTTAGAGTCCCGTGAGTGGGATCGTGGATGCACACTGCTGAGAAGTCCCACAAAAGGACGAAATAGCCTTCCAGTGCTTCCAGGTTTTCAATGGTGGTCTAACATCAATCGGTTCATGATCTCAATCAAAATAACTTGGCAATCTCCACAACCCTTATACTCACAATCCAAATGTTGATGTAAATAATTGTGGTGCTAAAATAAAGGCAGAATAAATCTCTTAAAAATCAACTGAATCGGGCCCACAATTTGATATTTTCTGGCAACAGTTATCACTATATTTTCTACCGATATAAAATAAACATTTGTAACTGTGAACTGAGTGTATTCATGCCTGATAACTCAAATGAACTATATCAACAATTCCATATTTTTTAAATATTCATTTCTAGGTACACGAAATTAGTTTAAGCCATAAAATTATCAAAATTCTAGCCAAATAAATTTGATCAGATCTATTTTCTTATTTCATTTACTTATGTCCAAGAGTTAAAATGAAAATGAATGTTCTTGTCAATAGATTGCCGGTCTATCTCTCGAAATATACCATAGAATTCGGGAACTATAGAACTAAAAGCATGAGGTGACATTCAAATTATTTTTTTTACTAAAATGTCTACATCACTCTAGGCAGATTTATGTACTTCATAATCGAGTGTATTAACGTATAAGCTAGAAAACAGCTTAGTTTGCAAGTTTCTACATTTTATATTATGTAGAAATGAATACGTTTCTTACATCATTTGAATATCGACAATAATATAACCTTATGTTTATATGAAATGACCTTAATAAAACTTATTGAAAGGCAGGAAGTAGAATATAACTATCATAGTGAAAGACACTTCAACATTGTGTATCCCCTAATTTTCTGGGGACCAAAACCAAAACATTTAATTTTCTCTGAGATTGCTTTGTTTTGAATCATTGAGTACATTCATTGATATATCATATGGGTTTTGTGGATATTATAGTAATTTCAATGGTTAAGATCATGAGTCAATTGAAGCTAGACCACCATGGAAAACCTGAAAACACTGAACGGCCGTTTCTTCCTATTGTGGGATATATATTTCAAACAAAGGTTGGTTTATGAAGTAAACTATCATTTTCCACAATCTCCACAAAACTCTTAACAAGTATACTACATTAATTCAAGCATATAGCCAGGAGATTTAATGTAAAAGAAAACAGTTAGATTTTAATAAATACACTTATAATAAGGCATATTTGTTTCAATATAACCATGCAAAATAAACGTTTTTTTTTTCAAAAAAAAAGAGATTCAAACACAAAATTTCAGCTAATTAATTGATTTAATGTTTTTCCTTTTGGGGTATATATTTACTTATAATAGAGTGGAACAATTTTCCTTGGATTCAATTATCACGCAAACTACTTTTTATTTTCCCTCTTATAATTTATATTTATAATAATTATGAATTCAAAAAAGAGAAAAGAGAAAAATTTCAAAAAAGAATGGACAGTAACAGTTCAGATGGTATCTTAATTAGGATCACGCCTAATAAGTTAAATAGTTAACGTTTATTATTTTTATTTAAATTCAATGACTGAATAGTTACGTTTATAAAGAATGTCTTTTATCTATTATGTGAATAAATAGAGATTATATTAGAAAATAGGTTTAGATTGTAGAAATGTAGTAGTGAAATTATGAATAAGAAGGTTGTCTTTTTTATTCTCAATATTCAATATGGTTAACCTTTTTTGTTTTTAGTGAATAAATTCTATGAGAACTAAGAATTAATTTTGAAATGCCTATAAAGATTAATTATTATATTCATTTTTGTCAGTTCCAGTTGAACTAGTCTTTATAAATATCTCTTTTTATAATAGTTATGTGATCATTAGTGGATAGTTTTAAGATATTGTAATTATGTTAGGTAGTTGAAAGTAGTTGATGAGCAACGTTTGACTTTTACTTCATGTTAGTTGGTATTTATCAATTAAGTGTATTTGAAACATTGAGAGAAATGTTACCCGCCCCCTCCCTGGTTGATTCGAAAAACAGTTTTCTTAGCTACACAATCTGAGATATTATTAAAGAGTTGTGAATAATCTTCTGTGGTAGAAATATTTAAAATAGTTGCTCTAAGATTTACTGACTTGATTCTGTATGATGCAAGAATTACATTCGAAGTGCATAATTCATAATTCAATTCCCTTGAGATTTATTGTTCATGCTTTAGGTGTTAAATTGGTTATTTTCTGAAAGTTCATAATAAACATGAGTGTGAGTTTTTATAAACAATGTTGAACCATTTTAAAGATATGCATGACCGACCTACCTACTTTCAGTCACTTTTTATTTAAGGCTTAAAATATTAGTTATGTGATGAATAGGAAACTTAATGATTTTATCAACATAATAGCTTCTGTCAATCACTTACAACAATTAAACAATATTTAAAATTCATTACCAAATCGTTTTATTAAACATGAACAGAAAATTGAAGAAAATTAAAGCAATATCATGACTGTGATCAGTCTGATATAAAGGCAATGAAAAATGAACCCTAATTATGTAACTGGTAACTCTACAAAATCTCATGTTACACATTAAACAACTTACAGAAATAGAAAATACCGTTTGAATCGGCCCTTTGTTCACAAAAATAAAGATTTGAACTGTCTTCAAATAACTGGCTTAATGGCTCAATGAATTTCACTGTATATATATATATATATATATATATATATATATATATATATATATATATATATGGCAACAATAGTGTACTGTTACTCAGAGCTGATTAATAATAAATATAATTTTGTTATATCCCAATGAGTAGAAAAATTGTATTTTTGGTGTTTTGTGACTTAATGTAAACCACTTCCTCAGAGTAAGTATATAACCGAAATAACTTAACGTAAGTTTATACTATTGAAACTTGTGTTAATTTATTTCGGTTATTCATTCACTTTGAAAAAAGTAGCCTATATAAAGTCACAAAACATTTGAAATACAATTATTCCACTTATTTGAATATAACAAAAATATATTTATTACTACATTTCTACACAATGCTCAAGTTATCTGAAACTATGAAGTCCAACCTTGGCATTGATAATTATCATAGTTGATTATGTATTATAAATAATTATCAGTTACATATTTCATATTAAATATACAATACTTACATATCCATTAACAAATGATTCCATCATCATGGCAACTTGATTCATATCTATGGGAAAGTACAACTTTATTCCTTGATAATTTGACGGTATTGATGGTAACCAATCACCATTCCAGATGTTTAAATCTAACGGTTCATCAATGTCTAATATCAATAAAAATTATAAATAAAGTATAATTCATCAACTGAGAAATATATCAAAATATATTCCCATATGACACTGAATTATGATGATGATATGTTCTCTGAGGTATATAAAGTTTTCGAGGAGCTTTAAGCCATCAAGTTCAATACAAACAACTCCACTACTTCAGCTGTAAATCTTTACCATGATAACATTGAATTATCAACAATGATTTGATTGTAATTCCTTTGTAATAATAACTGCGTTGTAAAATTGGTTATCCGACCTCGTGTACATAGATCTAGCTTAGGTAATATTTTTTAATAAAATTTATCTAATTATTCTGAATTTAAATAGCTGTTCTCTAAAGTTATTTTAAGTGGTAAGCTGGATACGTAGAGTAAGGAAATTTTTAGCAAAGTTTGTTAATTAGTTGAAATGAATTCAAGTGATTGTGGTTGACGAAATGACAAAAAACTGTTATATAATGTACAAAGTTTGTGCTCAACCTCTTCTAGAATATTGCGCGTTTATTTTTAGCAGTGAGCACATAAAGGATAAATTAAAGCTGGAATCAGTACAGAGACGATTTAAACTTCATATTCTTGGAGCTGATTGTACCTTAACTTATAATTCTAGATGTAATAAACTTGAGCTAGACCCTTTATGGGAGTGGAGACTCAAACTAAATCTTATCTTTTTCTTCAAACTACTTAATAAACTATCGTTTACATCCAATCACGCGATTCAATATGCAGAAACTCTTCATTATGTCATCCGTAATTCCTTGGCACTAGTGAAACAAACTCATTTTAAATCATCTCTTTATATGAATTACTTCACCTGTAAATTTTCTAGACTGTGGAATAACCTACCACAATCTATCCGTACGATAAAATCACTCCCATTATTTGTTCGCTGCATCGATGCATACTGCTTCTCTGAAAATGCATTGAATGGTCTAGCACCTGTAAGTGTATCTCATTCCACAAGTGATATTTTAGGAACCTTAAATGTTTAGCCATCTTTATTAGTGAATTCCCTAAGTAAAACCACCCACTTGCTGTCGATATGTTAACACCGTCCCTAGCAAGTTTAACTAATTCGAATAACATCAACAGTATATCACTGTGTCACATGACACACGCATTTTGGTAGACCTAACTGACATATTTTGGTAATTACTGCTTTGTTGTCCCGTGCTCTCTGTTTTCGTTTTAAGTTCTCTAGTTGTAGATAATTATCATTATTTCGATCTGGCACACGAATTGACCTTAATTACACCGTTCATAAATCAACAGGCTGTCCATTTAAGAAATATTAAAAATTCCCGGCTGATGCATTGGATCGCTGTAATATATGTACTACTTAAACAACTACTGAACTAGTATACTTAAAACTTTCTTCTATCAGATGTTTGTTCTGTACATCTAATGTTACTATTCCTACCAAATTGATCATGCCTGTAAACTGGCGTGAATTCTGTAATTATTATTTTCAGAATATAAATTATTAATAAAATCCAATCCACATCATAACGTAATCACTCTCCAGTAGTCTATGGTTTTTGAGGTGTTTTTTTACCAGATATTTCTGTATGTTGATAAAATGCATTCTTTAAATCTGAAGATTTATGCATCAAATTGGATGATGGCAATTATCATCTATTGTTATTATTAATCGCTTTATTTAGTATTATATGTTTAGTATAACATAGAATTCTCATTAGAATACATCATTACAAATTTATTTTAGGATTTTTTTACCCTTCGGAAGAAAATTAACAAACTTATTTTGAAGGTAAATTTTCATTTTAACAGTCGATTGAATTCAAGATTGACAGAATAAGCTTATTTCTACCTTAAGTTTATAATGAAGCGGTTGATCAGAAAGACAATGACAGCTACATGATAACATCACTCGACTCATAAAACTCAACTCCATTAAAATTGTTAAACAGGCAATGGAACATGACTACTTTAGTATATATATATATATATATATATATATATATATATATATTTCACTGCTGTCAATATTGTTCGTGGTTGTTATTTTGTCAAGAAAAATGTGACAAGTATACGTATTCCAATTACACCCAGAAATTTTCAATATACGCCTAGTTTCAAAGTCATACTCAGATTAACCTTGTACGGTATGATTGTTTTTACTGATAATCGACAAATAGTATTATGAAAATAAGATTTTCAAATAACAATAATAATAATATTAATGACACAATTACACTCATAATCGTTAGAATAAAAGCACCCAACAGATTTATTGTTTATGTATAAAGAAAGCTAATAACTGATACAAAGCAATAATAGTTAGTTAATAAAGAATAAGAATGGAAAGTTGGATGAATTAAATAAGCCACATGCATGATTGAAATGGTTTGACAACAGGTGGGTTACATAAGCAATGCTTACCAGTTTCTGGAATCGTTAAAAATCTTACATCTAAGATAATAAAAGGAAATTTTTGTTCACAATCAGTTTTGTATTGTTATTGTTGTTGATGATGAGTTCATATAATGTTTTAAAAGATTTACTGTTTACAATAAGTATATCTAGTATTTGAATCGAAAAAAAGCCTTGATTTTGTCTATATATATATCAGATCGGTTTTGTGGATATTATAGTAATTTCAATGGTTAAGATCATGAGTCAGTTGAAGCTAGACAAACATGGAAAACCTGGAAGCACTGGACGGCCAGTTCGTCCTAGTATAGGACTCCTCAGCAGTGCCCATCCACGACCTCGCCCCCTGCGAGATTCCAACCCAGAACCTACTGGTTTCACGCGCGAGCACTTAACCATTATACCACTGACCCGGCATCCTACGGTGTTAATGTCTAACTCCAACTAATCCACGAAATTGAACGACACATCCACCATTGTCCTCAATGAGTTACTATCTCACAACAGACCTGGTTCAACTCCACTGGTCACTACTTCTCACTAGAACCCAGAATATATACCTCGTGAAGCCAGTCACTAGTGAGTATATGTTGATTAATATCAGATGGGTTTTGTGGATATTATAATAATTTCAATGGTTAAGATCATTATATATATATATATATATATATATATATATATATATACGCGTGGCCATATGAATGCATTTCAAGCGGTAGAACAAACTCGCCTCTGTCGATCGGACCATGGCATTTGGGGGTGTAGATTATCAATTATGAATTCTATTCTGATATTGTTAAGTGTAGTGAGTTATTCATTTCCCTTCCATGATATCCTATGACCGATCAGAGTGCTTCTGTATATGTAGATGTATTTGGTGTATAATTAGATACATTTATTATCAAGCCTATAAGTATCACATTTTGTAACAAAGGATAATCCTGATACTATGTTTATTTTCAAAAGTTTGTACAATCTTATTATTAAGTTAATTATCAATAAAGATCATACTAATCTAACCTATAAGATAAACATGTAATCTGTGGTTTATTTATTTGAAACATACTTTCTATTTATAGATTCTAACATAATTATTGCTAATGCTTCATCTGTGAATAAGATTTTTTACAATGTAATTCTATTATGTGATCTGTATATAATTTAACAGTACACAATGATTTATTTACTAATTAATATGAATGCACATAATCGTCACTCTGTTTGTAATCACCTTCAAGTTAATTTCGAGATAGCTTTTTAGGATTATTTTTTTACGAAAGATGAATAGTGGCTAGGTGTGGAATAAAGAATGCGCGTTTTGTCCTATTTGGGACATGTCAGCCGGATGTACTTACATCCAAGAATTGATATTCACTCCGGGACTCGAATCCAGTACCTTTTACTTCAAGCGTCATCGTGTTATGCACATGGCTTCTATGTCCTAATAGCCATTAGCTTGTGCAATGGGGTGAAGTTTAAATTCACTTGGTATTGTTTTACTTGTATCTGCCCATTCTTATTTAGAATTGCAATTGGTCAGTTTCTTATTGACATATGTACATCCTGTGTGGATAACCTCGATATAGCCATAAGTGATAAGCAAGGAATATTTCTGATTTTCCAGCCCCGTTTAGTAAAATTACCACAATTAATTGCCAAATTTTCTTATAAACCTTGTGTATAAGTGTAAGCCAATAACTGGAAATATATATATGAAGGGGTTTTGTCGAGATTGTAGTAATTTCAGCAGTTGAGATCATGGAAAATTTGGAAGCACTGAACGGCCGTTTCGTCTGATTGTGGTCTCCTCAGCAGTGCACACCCACAACCCCGCCTCGCAGGATTCGAACCCAGGTTTTCCACGGTGGTCCAGCTTTGATTGACTCATGATCTCAATTACTGAAATATATATATTCTTTATAATACTACAAAATCAGTAGATAAATAATGATCATCAGTGATTTGTCCACATAAATCAACTCGGTTTCAATGAGTTTATGTAGATAAAGTAAATAATTTTGGAAGTTTGAATTAGTGTCGTAGATTTTCTTCAATATTTCTTAGTCATTGGTTTCATAACAAATAATTTAAATAATGAGTAAATTAGAAAGAAGAAATTATATTTCAGTTATTTTTTTAGTAGGAATCTTTCGAACTATCAAAGGAATTTTATCTTACCTGGACTATGTGGACAGTCAGAATTAACATCGGTGTTTGCTGTTTCTCCACTGGATGCGTGTGATATAAGATCATGAAATAGATCGTATAGCTTTACATTTTGTTTTTATGATTCATTGTAATCATGAAATGTGGGAAAAATTTAATAAAAAATAAATTTTACAAATTGAGAGTTTATTAGCAAAACTAATTAAAATTAACAAATTAATGTAACACATAAATAAATAATGATGATCGTACTTCATTACAAATTGATCAAATTTTATGGTTTACATGGAGAACTGATCATATTTAGACAACCGTTGAAAACAATGAACATCTGTTTCTTCTTAGTATGACATTTGTTAGCTGTGCGGATCCACGACCACACAGAGTATTTAATCCAAGGTATTTCTTTTTATCTAGCAGCAATTCCTTAACCCTAAACTATAAAATACCAAGAGTAGTTTATTTCATTTAGTGATATACATGAAAGATGGATTTATTTCCCATTGTATAATAGAATATCGAGTGTAAAAGACAAGGGATTTGAGTTTCATAAGCAGCTTACTAGGACTATACATTCTAAGCAAAGATTCATTTTGCTGCATATACGTTACATGGGATAAATAAATGGGTTATAAGTGAGATATTTGAGTTTTAATCAATCAGTCATGTGCAACATATAATCTAACATCCAAGTGCATTGAGTCAAGCTACCAAACTGTATCGGTATATCGAGATAAGATGAACGAGATAAATTCCACAGTAGTAGAACTAATGATGATGTTGGAAGTAGTAAAAGAGACCAGATATAAACAGTATGTTTTGCGAAAAAAAAAGAGTGAAGTGGCAAACGAAAAATATATTATGATATGATTTTGAAACTCAGGATCGAACGTAAGATAAGGAGTAAATGCACTTATTCAATGGTTAACAACTCTGAATATATACTCGTTGAGTATATTATTTTTAATTTAGGAAACAAGGCATGATTCTCTCCCTATGTCAATACAATGCAATGTAGACATAATCAAATCCATCACAATTCACTTGAGAGAACAAATTTAAAAACCATTAAAATAGTCTACTACGAACAACAGCGACAATGAGAAATAATTTTGCATGAAATCGCATATCAGTTTCATTTGTTTAAGGTCATCCAACGAAACATAAGATATATATATATATAACATATTGCAGCCAATTTTTGTCGGCTTTTCTCACTTATTTATGTATCGAAAGCGGAAAAGTGAACTTACAATGATTGTAATATGTCAAACATATATACTGTGGGATTCAACTGCAAACACAGAACATTGTTCAGAAATAACTTACGAAATTTATTATCATATGTCTTTACAAAACTTAATTGAAGAGAAGTAACCTTTAAAGAAATAGATCTTAGAGTGAAGAGTTTTGTTCATCATTACTTTCAATTTGGTAAATTCATATTAACTATAATAACACGGTTTACCTTTGCATGATTTTGTTCGCCTGCATACTCTAATGTCTGATAAATCATCCAAGCGCATCTTCGTTTGACTTCCAGACGTGCTTGATAACGCCGGTACCATTTTTGTATAAGAAGAGCAGCTCCTAAACCTAAAATAATGAATAATTAATTTTTTTAATTAACTGAATACTTTCCATTACTGTCTACAAATAACTTGAATCATACCATACTCCATATATTTAGTAACTTAGTGGAGTATGAAAAATTAAACTGGTAACAAGGAAAGCAACTTCAGAACACTAAAACGTGTATGCTTGCACAGATAAAAATCATACAAAAATATAATCTCAGGCAACCGTATGGATTAAATCATATGTTGGGAAAAAGAAGTCGATAAAGTCATTGTATCCATCGTTCAGGATCTAGTTTACTCGTCACAAATTTATCAGGTAGTCAGCTAAGTCACTGATTCAAACGACGGTATTAGTATGTGATCGTAAGGAATAATTCATATTTGCCTACAGATTAAACGATGTACTGCGTCATATAAGATATGCAAATAAATATTTGGTCAGAATTAACTACTTATTGTTTGTAAGTGTTTCGATGAGAGAGACGTACTGTGTGTGGGTGAAGTCCACCGTTTGTAGTTTGTTACCAATACTCTAAGAACTTGTCTCAAAGTCAGGTGGGTCAGTAAGATGTTTTTGATATGAATCAACCGAAATCGTACACCAAATTAACATTTAATATCCAGCAAAACCTGTATGAATGCTAAGTTTATCATAGACTACTAAGTCATCTATAGATTTCACTTCCTTAAATAAATTTCACAGAAACGAAACAACAATTTGAACTTAACTTATATCTACGGGAAACACTTTAAATAAAATCCATCATAACCCTGTTCCATAAGGTTAAAATAATTTACTCTTTGAATACAATGGTATCGTTTAATTTAATTGAGAAATAACTGGTACAGTACAGTGATCAGAAAGCTCAAGGTAATCATTAAACCAAAATAATGATGTTTAAGTGATTAAAGCTAACTTTCCAAAAGACAAACTAATTCCATCAAAGACATAATGCCTATATAAACAATCAAACGTTGATATATCCCCCATCCGTTTTACCCTACCTTTCTTCTATCAATCACCGCGCATTATAATGAAAGTCTAACTGATTCTAGCTCGATTTCTAATTGCACGGTATTTGAATGACAAGAAATGTCTAAAAAAGCAAAGCTCTTCGTTAAGCTTACTAAGATTAATAAATCAAATCAAAGTTTCCTGGGATACTAGCAACTAAAAGCTTAGAACTTCGTTCTTATTTACTAAAAATGCAAGCTGAAACCTTCTAAAATCATTGATGAATTGTGTAGCCTCCTGTATTGTCTTACATCGCATTTTATTTCATTCACTTTAGAGTTAGTTTAAAACAGTTTGAACGTAAATAATTTGAAGTTTTCTAACATCTACTAAATTTAATTATTGTTAGGAAGAGGTGCAAAACGAATAATTACCAAACATCAATTGCTAAACTTGTTTGTACATTTTTAATAAATATATTCATCTAACATTTGTTTCTGAATATTTTTTAAAATCTAGCTCTATGTTTTTGATTGAGATCATGAACCGATTGGTGTTAGACCACCATTGAAAACCTGGAAGCACTAGGCTGCCGTTTCGTCCTAGCATGTGACGATCCGCACGCAAGATTGAGAGGAGTCTCAAGTCACGCCTCTATTGGTGGTCCAACATTTCATCCAAGGTTTATAATTATCATTGATCAAGAGTTGATTAGGTTGTACATGTTTCAAATTGATTAAAATATACGGGACATCAGTATTTTGATTGAGATCATGAACCGATTGGTGTTAGACCACCATTGAAAACCTGGAAGCACTGGACGGCCGTTTTGGTCTACTGTGTGACTCCTCAGCAGTGCGCATCCACGATCCCGCTCACGGAATCCGAATCCAAGGCCTGTAGTCTCGCTCGCGAACTCTTAACCTCTAGACCCTTGAGCTCGCATTCAACGGCGTTAATGTCTAACCTCGACCGAATTCAAATTATAAGCTCCATTTTGACTAATTAATTACTATCCTTTGACTGTCTAATTTACAGTCGATTAACTACATAATTTTTTTCTCTATCCATTTATATACCTAATAAAATTTATTAACTGTGATAGCTTGTAATCTTGGAAACTTATATATATAATCATTGGGAATTATGATTTTTGATAGTTAAATTTACATGTGAAACTCAAAACAACTGTCAACCAATATCAAAGTCACAATCTTCGATATGAACGTCAAGACAGTTCTAGTGTACGGAGCTGAGACTTCGATAACTACTAAGACCAACATCAAAACAGTACAAGTATTTATAAATAGTTGTCTACGCAAGATATTCAACATTCATTGGCCAGATACCATCAGCAACAACCTACTGTAGGAGAGAACAAACCAGCTTCCAGCTGAAGAGGAAATTAGGGAAAGACTCTGAAGTTGGATAGGATATACATCACGCAAATCACCAAACTGCACCACAAGGCCTGTATTAACTTGGAATCCTGAAGGGAAGTGGAAAAGCGGAAGGCCAAAGAACACATTACGTTGGGAAATAGAATTAGATATGAAAAGGAAGAATAACAACTGGAAAGATGTGGGAAGGATTGTTTAGGACAGGGTTGAGTGGAGAGTGCTGATGGGCGGTCTATGCTTCTCCACGAGGAGTAACAGGTGTAAGTAAGTAAATCTACATGTGATCACTTATCCAAATTTCTGATATTCTAACTAATCATTTTGAAATATACTGAGTACACTGATGACGTTGATGATTAGTTCTGGAAATAAAAATAAATTAGTTCCAACAGTTTTATTGACTATTTTTCTATTTGATATTTTGACATTTTAACAGCTTTATCATTGTATAGGTATGTATAAATAATGAAGATATTTAATCTGATGTTTTTAATCAAAATGTATAACTTTGTACCAAATCAGTTCTGTTGCTTATAGCTCACCAGCCGATTCTTTTTTACAAGTATTAAGGGGTGTTGATTTTTTTCAAACAAACTATATATATATATATATATATATATATATATATATATATGTATATATATATATATATATATGTATATATATATATATATACATGCAAACTTATTGAGTTCTATCGAACTTTTTCTTGACTTGTTGAAATTTATGCACGTTATCGTTTGAGCACATCTAAAGTTAGCGTTTATATTCGTTAAAGTCTATTCAAGTCCAATCTTTGTATGTAATGTATTGAATTAATAAGAAAACATATAGGAACTATAAATGTGAAAAACTACCACCATACATAGAGTTATCAAGTGACGGATTTTAATATAACACATCTAGTGGTTATTTTTAGAATTTGGCTTGAAACACCTCACAAGATATGATATTTGAAACCCGGCAGACCTCATTAGATGAAGAAAGTATTATTATAAGTGTAAAGATAAATCATTTGGACCCTGTTGTCTGCTTACTTCTATGGTTATATTTTTACTTGGCGTAAAATGGATACGGTTTGATATCGCCGTCTATTTATAAATGCAACTGTTCTTGCACAGTAAATTTTCTGGAACTCACAATGAAAAGCTGTTTCAAAATGTACCAAAACATTCTACAATCTGAGTTACAAAAAGAAAATTCCGTTTTGTCCCATCATCATAGTACTGGGAACGTGAGAAATGTTGACATATTCCGTTTAGTAATTTACAAGGTACTGAAAAGTCTATTATTGTAGGCTTGTATTCTCTTACAGTGAACAGACAAAGCTAATACAATCAAAACAATGTGGCTATAGAGTGTAGGAAAGAGACATAGATAAGACAGTATTTGAACCAACAGCTTTTATCGTATCAGTTATAAAAAGATGTGTGGTCAAACGCTCTTCAGTATGGCTAGGATGTTATGTTCAAACGACAAAGCAAATGAAGAGTTGGCTATTTCGGTAAAGCATCTCATAAGAAATAGATATTCAAAGAAACTTATTACGAAGTACTGAAAATAACAACCCAAAGATGAGAAGCAATCGACTGTTGGAAAGGAATCTGTCTTCATCAGCCTTCCGTTCAAGCGGATGAGATTTCAAGAGCAATCAATAACACAGTCAAGGTAAGACAGAAAATAAGCTTCCCTGCTGCTTAACTGGTTTCACTATATAATATCAAGACTTCATTATACCATTCAAAGTTAAATCAATACCCTTCCGATCTCACCTTTAACTGCTTATATAAATTTACCTGTGCCTTCAGTAGCAAATACATAGAGACGATAGAGAGAAGGGCCTCCTTGAGGCTTTCTAAACACATTCCTTGGAAGCTACGGCTGAAATGAAATAAAATCTTTACAAATGTAATTCCCAGATACCTACTGAGAGGCGTGAATGAAGTAGGTTTAAGTAATGCATTTATAACAATTAGCCGATAAAAAAATATCAGTCTTACTTCGTTTAGCAAACGCAATCGCTATCAAAAGTTTCAGACCTGATCTATGGTTACAGAAGAAAGATGGATTAGCCTTTCCTTTCCACGGTGATCGTGGCTGCAACGATTTTAACTTCTAATCTTTTTATTTCAACCCTGTTCCTAATCCTTTATCGCTTTTTTTAATTTCGTTTTCTGATATTCATCTTCTACATAATCTTACTGATGTTTACATATTTGTGTATTTAATCATGTTGATCGTCTACTCAAACACTTATTCATTTCATTACCTCTACATAACCTCAGAATCCCTACTTTCCAGCACGTAAGTACACATCGATCTTAGTTATATTTATTTATACACCTTCTCCCTATTCTTTTTATTATTATGATTTTGGTAACGTTTCGAACACAAACTGAAGTATGATAAAGATTTGTTAATAATTATGTCATTAATTGTAATTTTAGGTTGGATGAAGCTGATGAGAAACCGTGAAATGGCATAAATCTATTTTATTCTACAAATCATGTTGTTCTTGATCTGTTTAAATTTATTCAGGGACCTGGTTGTACGAAACAAATACTTTATTTGGGTTAAGTACAAAGCAATCATAGACTGTAGGTTAAAAACGTCGTTCAGCCAATATCATTAAAAATGATTAAGTACAATCGACTGTGATATTGATTTATTAGTTTAGTAGCTACAATAGGAAACTGATCAGTCAGTTATATAGAACAAAAGACCTCGTTTGAATCCAACTTACCACAAATTATCTCGTTACAGCGAAATTACGTTGCAATGAAATTGAAAAGATGACATGGAAGAAGTACAAGGATAATTGTAATTACAACACAATGGTTGTGATTATTTTATTAATGGTGAAGACAATATGGATTAGATACTATGTGTTGACCCATCATCAATGTTCATTTCAGTTTTATTGCCTAATTCTATTTTATCTAAAATTGTTGAATCCCCATGTTGTACACGTCATAGAATATTTAATTCAGCATTCAATGTTACTGCTAGATGATAATTTTAAATTTAACATTAAATGCGTGTACTGGTGTTCAGTAATTTCGTTTTATGAAACCATCTTACAGAAATTCGACCAAATTATTACAGTAACCACCGACTTCATCAAATAAACCGTCACCTCATCGACCTTGTATAAAATCGAAACCAGAACCATTGAATCTTGTGGCAAGCACTAAAATCTAATTATTGAAGTATTTCCCCTCCCCATAGGATTTTATTTATCATTCTTATTCATTATCGTATTCGATTAACTTTGTGTAGACTATACAATTTCGGTTATTAATCTCAGTCACAAATGTGATCACTTACAATTTGAATAGTTCATTTTGAAAATTCCCAACTTTAGAACTGTGTAAAATATAGATTCTCTTCAAATTGTTTGTATCATACTATCAGTAAACTTAAGTTCATCGACTCAAATAGATTGTTTCCAATCATTAAACATAGAACGATGTGTACTTTTAAGTGTCAAATAATTAAATTCAATGATCACATTTCAACTTGATTGATAGAACTTTATTATTACTAACAACTTGATAATTTAACATTAGTTGTAACATGAAATAATCTAGAATTTCTGACGAGACTATAATTTATGGACGAACCAATCAGGTATTAAATAACAGGTCTTGGATTTTGACGCGAAATTCTCTCATCCATTTGGCTAAATAGAGTTTTGTTATTATAGCTGATGTCAGTTCGTGATGAAAACCCTAAATCTAATTCCTAACTCTAACCATCAACTGTAAATCATAATTTGAATTCCTCGCACTGGTTTATAACCCTCATTTGGTTCTAGTTATTAGGTGAACACTCTCAAGGTTATTTCAGCGTCATCCATAAATTATAGTCTGATCAAACTGTCTCGAAATCTGATATTTTTGACTTATGGATTCTCGAATATAGAGTTTTCCAGTGAGCCTTCGTTGAATTGTATTTCTGCATAAAATATGGGCATTTTGAGTATGATTTACTTCTTGTCAATTTTCACATATTTATCTTAGTGACCTATCAGATGCATAGACCACTTGGCTTGTGAATGATAAAAAGCTAAATGTAAGTAGTATACAAATATTTATTGTCTCATTACATTTTCAGTGATTGAATAAGGACGTAAAAATAATACTGCATTGTTATATTATTTAAATTACCTAAATTTGACCAAAATTATTTTTAAAGGGAAACAAATTTTATGCCACTTTCATATTTATTTGACTCATCTTTATCTTCTAATACTCTTGAAGTATTCAACATGATTGTCTTAAGGATAATACTAGGGATTACAAATGTGATGGTTTTTGGTAACGGCTGGCTGTATCCAAAGATATCTAAAATGGACATATCCACTGTGGCCAGCCCAACATTCCGAGTTAATCTAGTAAGCTTTAGTGATGAAAATGTAATCTTTTATAAAAATCGCGTCCTAGTATATATCAATTAATCATTAACCGAACAGGAAATTGGCCAAATGTCCCGGAAACGATACATTCAGAAAATTTCGTAGACAACCAGATAACAACCTGGTACATATTTTAAGTGATAAAATAGATAATTTTCGAAAGTAAAAAACTAAGGATAATCACTCCACTGCAGCAGTTACAACTTCTACCAACCAATTATAAAATTATAAATAGAAAACAGAAAGAATAGGATAGACAAGTTACTACTTACTATACAGTTGAGAGTTTCTTTTCTCACCATTTGCTTTAGTTAATGAATGGTCACGATCAACATGATCTACATAAATGAAAACACGGAAGCGACTTATATATATTTGTATATAGGATCTAGAAATCTTGTTTACATCGTCCTGTTTTAATTCATCAGACAATCTATTTATATATAAGGCTTTATAAAACAAACAAAATTTCAACTCCTTGATTCCAATAAAGTTTAAAAATAGGTTATTACAGGAACTTACTCATTATCAATAAGTTATTCTAAGTCGATAACTAAGCAATTGTATCAATAATGTATCATAGTATATTGCCTAGAAAGAAAAATAAATGTACCCTGATTGATAACATTTATTTACAGTCTTCTACAGATATATCTCTTATAAACTAAGACCCAAAATACTCATTTCCATCTTCATCCGTTGTGACTACTTAAAAACACGACTGCTTTTGTTTCTTTTGATTTACTTGGTCAAGCTTCATTATCTTCCCCCTATCCAAGAAGAAAATGTATCAACTAGCGTACTAAAATATTATCAAGATATTTTTCAAACATTTAAAGCTTATCGGGTTAAATCTTTAGTCCTTGACATAAAAACATAATCTGGTAGTAATTCTGAAGTGCAATCCGTAACAACAACATGAACGTTCTAAAAATTGCAGCCTGTATTTGAAAAGTCAGTCTTAATAAAAACACAATAGCTTTTAATATATATTAAACCAGTACAGAGGAGAGAGTGGTTAAAGAAGGCTTTAATACCATTGTTATAAATCTCTTTTATTACAACACAGCTATTCCTATTGCTTAGTATTCTCGGACACCGATTCACCAGACACGTCCTCAAATCAGAACACGGTTGAACAGGAAATAGATTATATTCCAAATAACAAAGTTAGATGGAAGTAAAAAGCACAATAGGAAAAACTTTAATATATTTATAGTTTTTACATGAGAAGATTTCTAGAGTGTTCTTCAATTATCGACTAGCGCTGATTGGCTAATTCTTACCCAATCAGCGTGCGCCAAAGCAATCATGCATTGAGTGTGCTTCTATCCAATCTATGTCCCGCTAGCAACCATAATAACCAGCACTCTGTATCACTAAATAAACTTCACATGACATGGTGAATATCCTTTGTCTAGGATACATTACCGCTGGGGATATTGATTTAACGAAAAATTATTTAGTCCATAAATGCAGATTTCATTTATGCTGAAAACTTGAAAGAGGACTAGCTTGAAATTACTATTTCGTTTACGGATGTTCATTCGCTAATTTTATCATTCAAAAGTGGAGTGATTTTTAAGAGCTTAACTCACCTTTACAAAATACATAAGAAAAAAAAGATTTTCACTTACTAAGACTTAAAAATTTGTGAAAACTGTCATAAAAACTCATGAATGAAAATGTAGAATTTTTCAAAATGTATCTGTTGTCAGGCGAAATTAATTTCTTTTAATGAACCCAAAAGTATCCTTTTTACTTCAGACCTATTGTAAATACTCTTGCCTTGTTTTTAGCATCACAGGGAATTTTTAAACATACGATTTTTCCTACTTTAATTCCCAGTTTTATTATATTATCTATTATTTATTACAATTTGATTCTATGTCAGTAGGAGTAACCTGACAATAAACTAGAGATTGGATCGTTATATTGAGCAAACACTCCATGATTTCAGATTGGCGTTCTTTTTAAATAACATTTAAATATCATAAAAACAGAGAAATAGGGTGGCAAAGGATCAAAATCTACCATAAGGTGTATTTGAATAGTAAAATTCATAAGTCCACTCGCTTTGGCGGTACATGCACTAAAATTGGAACGATACAAAGATTAGCATGGCTTCTAAGCAAGGATGACACGCAAAATAGTGAAGCGTTTCATATATTTTGTGGTTTTTCAAACAGTCAGGTCTTAGGAGCGGATGCTGCCATGGCCTGTGTGGATAGGTCGTTCTTCCTATGAGTTTTGTATGCAAATGCTCCTAGTCTAAGAAATAAATTCTGTGAAATAGGAGCATTAGTGAACAAATCAAGGCCACACATTGTAGCTGTGACGGAAACTTGGTTAGTTCACGACTTCGAAACTACTCCAGAATTATCTGGATACCACTACCAAAGAAGTGATAGACAAAGATGTAAGAAAGGGGGTGGCATCTTTTGTATGTAGCTAATAATATAAATATCTGCTCCTTTGCTTGCGAATCCCATGATAGCGGAAGTTGTGAAGTCATTAGCTCTGAACTCACTATCGGATGTTGTACATTTATACTCGATGTCATCTATCGCAACTTAATCTGCTTAGCTGTTGATTTTATTTTAGGACACATTCATCTATGGTGTACAAATAACAGATATCTGATATTAGGAGGCTTTAATGCACCTGATATTAGTTGAACTACGATGGCCACTGTAGGATCCATAAACCCCTTTGATAGTAGGTTTCTGATAGCGGTATTGAAGCATAATTTACTACAGCATGCATCCAGACGCACACGTTTTGGTTAAAACCACGTTTTTTTGTTAGTCTTGGTAATCACTCATGCCGGTCTAACTATTCTTCTACCATTAGCAAACAGAAACTATGTCGTTTTGTCATTCATGTTTAGAGCTTGTGACATGATAAACGATTAGGTTAAGCCTCGTCCAAGTGTATGGAGAGCTAACATATCGGCCATTCAGGTGTGCTCTGCAAAGATAGATTGGTCAGAAGATACCGACTCGTCAGTTGAAGAAGCATAGTTCATACTTAAAGATGAGCTCAGTTCAGTTACGTCCTCGTTTATACCGTACCTGGTACTACATAGACCGAATAACTTCTAACCATGGATAATTAAAAATGTCAAGAAACATCTAAGATGTAGGAAAAAGCATTTGAATATATTCATCTCTACTGGCTTACAACAGTATAGATCGACATATTGTAGGACAAGGATTGCTTATAAAGCGTTGGTTATTATGACTAAACATTCATATGAAAAACAATTGGTTCGGCGTTGTAAAAATAGTCCGAAACGGTTATTCTCGTATTTAAAGAGGTGAACTCAGAGAAGCGATGGAATCCCATCACTTTTGGTACAGACAAATCCGTTAATATTGACAAGAGATGATGTCGAAAAACCTAAAGCTTTATCGGAATATTTTAGTAAAGTATTTTTTATCAGCAATGAAGAACGACCAATGAATAATTGTCAATGGGGCGGCTCGTCTATGGATCCCGTAGTTATTGAGAAATGTACTGTCTTAAAACTACTTCAATATCTCAAACCTGACAAGTCCAGTAGTTCTGAGGATATTCATCCTAGAATTAGGAAAGCCCTTGTCGGACTTAATTGCTGAACTTATAGCCATGCTGTTTGATACGTCTCTGCATCAGTTCAGACTGTCAAGGGACAAGAAAGACCCAATAATTAGTCTGGTGTATAAGGCGGAGAATAGAAATTCAGTTAGTAACTATCGACCCGATGGTCTAACCATTGCAGTCGTCAAACCAATGGAAAAGATTATTCGGATGGCTGTTACAAACTATGTAGAAGGGCATAATCTTTTATCCATGGAGCAACATGGTTTTCGGGAAGGCATATCATGTTTGACAAATCTGCTCATTGCAAAAGAAGATTGGGCTGTGGCAAAAAATCGAACTATTTCTGTAGATGTGATTTTCATAGATCCAAGTAAAGTCTTTGATAAAGTCTCTCATCTGGGTCTTAAATTACAACTGGAAAGTTTCGGAATCTGTTATGAACTGATAGACCAGGCAGGTAACGTTTCCAATGATAGGAGACAGCGGGTAGGGATAAGTAGAGCTCTCTCGTCGTTGAAACCTATAAAAAGTGGAGTTGTCGAATATACAACCCTTGGTTCGCTTCTCTGTTTACTTTATGTAAACGAATTACAAACTGTAGCAAAGTCGTCCGTTCTACTCTTCATCGATGATAAAAAAACTTTGGAGACTGGTACACATTATGTCAGATAGAATAGTATTACAGGATGATCTCAATTCACTGGTGGGATGGATGGGCGGGTGGTCACTAAAAGTAAAGCCTAACAAGAGTTTGGTGATGAAATCAAATAACTATGATGATTCGTAGCACTACATAATACGTGAAGATGAATTATCCAAAGTAATGGACCATAAAGATTTAGGAGTCGTAATAAGAAACGACCCTAAAACTACGAGAAACTTCAAGGCTGCCAAAGGCTTTAGGGTATCATGGACTATTCGTAGGTCCTTTCCGTACTTGGTGAAGAAAATTTTAAAGCACTTTACCCGAATTTCGTGAAACCGCATGTGGAATATGGGATTCAAGCAGTGAGTCATTGTTTCAAGTATGAGGCGGATATGCAGGAACGAATTCAAAGACGAGGGAGTGAAGTGGTAAAATGTCTCTCTCGTTTATCTTATGAAGAAAGATTGAGACATCCCAAATTATTTCCGTTGTCTTACTGCAGATTACGGAGTGGCCTGATATTGGCTTATCGTCTACTGAACGATGACCATGGTACTAATGTTTTATAATGTTCTTCGGTCTATGATTTATTATTTGAGAGGACATTTAAAGAAAGTTCAAAAACCGAAATCAAATTGTCTATGTCTGAAGCTTTGTTTCTCACACTGATTAGTGAATCACTGGTATTCTCTACCAGAACACGTATTATCAGCAACTTCTGCTAATATATTCAAAATGAGTTTGAATCTCCACAGTGTTACAAACAGCAAGGATTAAAATAGGTCGATCGACCTCTTATCCTTATTACTTATGACTAAAGGTGTACAGAACGAATGTAAAAAGCAGGTTCTCGGGAATTTTGAAGAAAGAGATACATTGTTGAAAAACGCACAAAAAACCCGTGATTCAAATATTCGTATCTGACCGCTTGAGGATCAAATCAAGTGGAAGAATGCTCTTACGGAGTTGAGAACTCGCAAGTTAAATGGCGAAACTAACATTACCATTAAGTTTTCGGGTAGTCAGGCCTTGAAAGCCAATGCTTCCGAGGCCTTTATGGGTAGAACGAATGATTATCAAAACACCTTAAGTGCGTGCTACATGAACCCCCGTAGTCTTAGAAATAAAACGTCCGAGCTATGTCTGATGGTGGATAAATTAAGTTCCGATATAATTGTTGTTACAGAAACTTGGTTCACATTAGATATAGAATGTTCTTCCATCATCGCAGGCTATATCTGTATTAGAAGCGATAGAATTTTAAGTCGCAAGGAGGGAGGCATAATGTTATACGTTAGGGATCACTTTCGTATACAATCAATCATATCGGAGGCTCATCTTAGTGGTACATGTGAGGTAGCATGTTGTAAGATTAAATCTAGAAATGGATTAGTGACTATAGCGGGAATATACCGTCGTCCGTGTTGCTTTGCTGACGACTTTATCTTAAGACACATCTGTTCTTGGAGTATGGCAGAATGTTGTCTCACCATTGGGGACTTCAACGCACCGCGTATCAACTGGATAGAGCTTACAGCTCCAGGTAGTGGTTTTGATAGCGACCTTTTATCTACCGTTATTCAGTGTGCACTTGTACAATGTATCACAAAACCGACACATATTGGTTTCAATCATGATCCGTCACTGCTGGGCCTCGCCCTCACCTACCACTGTGAGGATGTCTTTGATATTCAGCACCTCCCCCTACTAGTGAACAGTGATCACATTGTACTTTACTTTAAGTTTAGGACACATGGTATACGATTTGTATCTGCCCCATCCCGTCCCAATATCTGGCAAGCTAATATTTCGGCAATCAGAAACTGTGCTATCTCGACTGATTGGTCGGTCGACGAGGATGGATCGGTCGAAGACGAATGGAATAAGTTTAAGGCTACATTCAAGTCAGTAACGTCGCCGTTTATCTCATGGTCAGCACGTAAGCTATCACATTGCCCTTCATGGATTAATAAGGAAACCCAGAAGCTGTTAAAGCGTAGGAAACACTTTTGCGACTTATTCTTGTTGACAGGTCATGCATCATTGAAGCGTGAGTACCAAAAATTCCGGAATATTTGTAAGAAAACCATGGCTAAATCTCACACTACTTACAAACGAGAGTTGGCATATGATAGCCGTACTTGTCCGAAACGATTGTTTTCGTATGTTAAACGGCGAATGAAACGTAGTGATGGTATTCCCTCGTTACTGTTACACGAAGATTCAGAATTACTACCTGAATCAGATCGAGCAAAAGCTGAGACTTTTTCAAACTATTTTAGCGAAGTTTTCTCTATGTTTATTGTAACAAAAACATGTTCCGCTCACACCAAGATACCAACCATTGAATCTCTACAGGTGACTGAGGAAACTGTCGTTCCGTTGATAACTAACCTTAAACCTGGTAAGATACCGGGCCCTGACGGGTTACATCTGCGGTTGCTGTCATCTCTTGCGGACATTATTTCAAAACCGCTCGCGACACTCTTCAACATATCTCTTTCACTCGTTCAACTCCCTAGAGATTGGAAGGACGCTATAGTCAGTCCTATATTTAAGGACGGTCGGAGACAGATAGTATCTAACTACCGGCCTGTCAGTCTAACTAGCATAGTCGTTAAGTTACTTGAAAAGATAATTCGGGTTAGGTTGCTAAACCACATAGATTTACACAATCTGTTAGCTCCTGAGCAACACGGATGTCGTAACAAGCGTTCATGCTTGACTAACTTAATTACTGCGAGAGAGGATTGGACAGCAGCCTTAGATAAAGGTCCGTTTGTCGATATGATATTCGTAGATTTTAGCAAAGTATTTGACAAGGTTTCACACTTAGGTCTTACGCAGAAGCTCACGAGCTTCGGAATAAAAGGTACTGTACAGGAGTGGTTAGGTAACTTCTTATGTGACCACAAACAGAGTGTGAGTGTCAGTGAAACGCTATCCGACTGGAAGCCGGTCAAAACTGGTGTACCCCAAGGCACCATCTTAAGCCCTCTGCTCTTCCTTCTCTACGTTAACGAGTTACCGCTGTTGCTTAGGTTGTCGATACTATTGTTTGCGGATGACGTAAAAATCTGGAGAACGATAAAAAGTGAGGCTGATCATCTGGATCTTCAGGCTGACTCAGACGATTTAGTTAGATGGGCTCGAGGTTGGAGCTTAGAAATCAATTCTAGGAAGCGTGTGCTAATGCACATCGGTCACGGTAATAGTTACCATTATACCATCGATGGCAAATCTCTTCCATGAGTTCAAGAACATAAAGACTTAGGAGTAATAATAAGTCATGACTTAAAAGCAACTACGCATTGCAACGCAGCTGCTGTCATAGGTTTTCGTGAGTTATGGTCACTTTGTCGAGCGTTCAAATCTTTTGACTAGGAAATGTTTGGAATTTTATATCCAAACTATGTAAGACCACATTTAGAGTACTGTATCTAAGCAGCTAGCCCATGTCTGGTAAGTGATACTAACTCACTTGAGCGTATCCAGCGTGTGAGAACGAAGTTAGTGAAGGGTCTTTCTAAACTCCCTTACGATGAGCATTTAAAACGCCTAAAGCTTTTCCCCTTGTTGTATCGTAGGACGCAAGGTGACTTTATACTGGCATTTCGTATCTTTAATTATTATTTGGATGTTAATATGTGATCTTTTTGCTCCCTCTAGCACTAATAATCTCCGAGGTCATAGCAAGAAGGTTCATAAACCTCAATCCAATAAACTTAAAGTGGAGTCCCGTTTTTCTCATCTAGTAGTCAATGATTGGAACGCCTTACCCGAACAAGTGGTATCAGCCCCATTAGTGAATATTTTAAAAGAGAAACTGGACCTTCACTGGAAGGCAATGTGTCAGGATTAACACAGGTTCACCAACCTATTATCCTTATTACTGAAGACTGAAAAACATTGTAGGCTGCATTTAAACTCGTCTACTTTGATCAATTTTTGTAACTCTTAATATTATTATTTTTTAAACGCTGTCTAGCAACACATCGTTGAAGTATAAACAGTGATCAATGTGAACTTAAACAGCTTCTGAGGACTACGATACTGCTTTGAGTGAAATGGATGTCATTAGTTAGAGTTGTAAAAGATTTCTCTTAGCAAGTGCTGAGTTTATAACTTGGTTCTAGATTATTTTGTTGGCAAATCATCAAACGTACTCGAGCTCCCGATTACGTGGAAGCTGCTATGGTAAACTTTGAGGAAATTTTGTGGAAATGGCACTAAAACCCGAAAATATCCCCAACATTCCCCTTTAAACTTGATGAGGGTCATTTGACTTCGGGAGTTTCCTCAAAATACCCCAAAAGTTCCCCGAACTTGGGAGCTCCAGTGGTATCTTCATCTCCCAACTAAGAGGAAATTTTCGAGGATTTCGCAGAACCCCCCAAAGTCAAATGACCTTTCCCAAAATTTGGAGAAAATCCAAAAAATTGGGGAATCGCCTAGAGTTTAAGGGAAATTTTCGAGAAATATCCCGAGCTCCCAAGTTAAAAAAAAGCTTTGAAGGGTTTCGGGGAGGTTTTGGGGTATTTTGGAGAAACTCTTGAAGTCAAATGACCCTCACAAATGCTTGAGGGGATTTTGGGGAGCTTTGGGGATTTCCCCGGATCTGAGGAAATTTTTAAGTTTGAGTGCCATATCCTAAAAATTTCCACAAAATTTTCAATAGCAGATTTTCCAAGAAATACCCAAAATGTGTCAATTTTTTTCTGAATTGGGATATTGGGATAAAATATTTCAGATACTTTCCGTGCTATCCAAACTCAAAGAATCGAAAAAACCTCCAGCTGTCACTTCATTGATCACCAAAAACTGTCTTGTGATGTTCATGAACCCTTCAAAATTTCAGACGTGTGAACATATGTTCAAATATATTTTTTATCGTCAAATATTTGACGATAAAATTTACCTGAAATTTGCTTTTCTCCACAATCGACTATTTCTCTAACACTGATGGATTGAGAACATCCCATATTCCAGACCGTTTATCTAAATAGTTCATCCATCGTTCTGTTTTCTGTGAGATTGATGTTCGTTTTTTAAGCACAATAACCGCTAATGCTTTTTTGAAAAATGGACTAAACTCAACTAAGGTCATATAACCAATTATCAATATCTGTCACGAGCTTGTATTAACCAGACTCTCAAGTAGTACTACAGTTAAGAGGTGTTCTATGTTTAGTTTAATTTGTCTAAGACGTTAGAAGCGAAGATCTCTATCATTTCTAAGTTAATGATGTCTTCGGCATTTGACTCCTTAATAGTGCAAATACCTTTGTTTATGGGCTCTCACGTTTTCATGATTCTATAGAGATAGTTAAACTTAGCCTGCGTTTCGACAGTAAGCTTGGCCTGAAAACATTTATCTCCGTGAAATTTGGCTTCGCCTCTGTCCCTCAGTGCCAAGTAAGATCTGCGGCCAGATTTCTTCGAGGAGGCCTTTCACTTATTCCAGGCTCTCGGTTCGGCCTTTAGCAAACGTTCCAAGCCTCTCCTAACTAAAAATCTTCATTTTCCAGATCTGTGCTTTACTCTGAGGTACATTGTGTTGAGTGAGAGCCTGAGCGATGTTCTTTGCTATCTTCCGGTATTCACCCAAATGACATTTTTATTCCATTTTTAATAATTTGTAACGATACTGCATCCATTATTTTTGACGTTCTTTCCTTTCGTGCAGTTAGTGAATGATACATTAGGAGTTTCTTTTATACTAATTGTCTTACTCCATGCGTCTAAGATTATCAACGTCATACAATCAAACACCAAGCTTCAAAAAACCTTGAAATTCCAAACTGAAGTCATAAATATAGCCAATGAAAGGCGAACGGTTGCTCCACATAGTGTCAAAGAGTCTTTTGTATGTGTGATAAAAACAAGGTTCCGTAGAACCTCTCTGTATTTATGTCATCCCCTAGATCTCTTGATAATACTTTTCGGTTAATCTGATTTGAATGTATTTTCTGAGCACATCGAACCGTAAGTAAAGCAGCCATGTTCGGTGAAGCCAACTGTTTCTTACAGTACATGGACGGTCAAGTCGGCGGTGTGATACTGAATTACGATCCAGATGTCTCAAATCGCTCAATGAAAGTGCAGTCGCCAATATCTTTCTTGTTCGAGTGATAAATTATCAAAGACCTCTAGCCGGTGTACACCTACGTTATAGCGCTTCGTCATGACTGGAGGCACATGACGATCATATAAGGTAGTAAGCATTTCTATAAACGTATATTCTATGAACTTTGGCTTGAATATTTACCGCAGAATTAACAGCATACATTGACTATCTGAGATGAGAAAATTGATATTGAGAAACACACGAATATAGCCGATCGAATTATGAACTTTACAGTGAACAAATGGCATTACAGTTGCACGTATCACTTAAAACTTTTGTAAACCTGAAACAAACGGCTTAACCATTGGTCGACTGGATTTCCCAGTTGCAATCGCGACGAACGACGCGTCGAGTTTCAGCAATGATATCTGGATGTATAAATGGTAATCGACTAGACGACATTTTGCATATATTTTGGTGCCCACTTGTTACTGATCTCCAAGTAGCCGCTATAATGTGATTTATTGTAAGAAGAGCAATCGCTCAAACATTCAAGATTGTGGTGTACTGGAGTAGGAACATTAATGTCTAACAATTATAGTTTCACATAATAGGTCGATATTCAATGTACTTTCATTATCACGACTGATCTCCTGTCACTCTGTAGTGGCATTGGGCCCTAATACGAGACAATGTGCGAAATGAACACACCATTGAACACGGAGAAAAATCCAAAGATGAAGAGGGCGGGAAGAATGAATTGAATCAATGGGAGTTGATCGTATGGAGTGGCTCGGCCATGCAGGCGTGGTCCCTGCTGAATGTTACCTTATATCTTTTATTCATATTAATTATATTGTTCTGTCTCTAGCCTAAGTTTGTTCTCTATGATGTATTGGTAGTTGTTATAATGTGGTGAGTTGGTGTAGACGATGATGTGACTTCCATGTAAGATTTTAAAGGCAGTTATATCATGACAAATCTACAATTATAGGATTAGGTTTATTATTAGAGCAGTACTAATATCATTGTAGACCATAATTCTACAACTCCATTTGTCCCTTTCTTTTCCTTCTCCCTTTTTCTTCTACATGGATTTTATTCTTAAGCATTCAGAGGTTATAATTAAGGTATAATATATTAGGACACACTTAGATAAATTATTTTTTGAGATTCATTTTATTAATTAATTAATTAATAAAATATTAATAATATATTTCTGCATGTGCAGGTACACACCGTTTTTACAGGCATGATCTATAAATTACAACATTTGTTGGTTCACAAAATGTTTCCCAACTTATTAAGATGAAATCGTAGAGCGCTTGCTGTAAACTATGACCTTGAGAGGATGCGCACGTCAAGTTTGTTCCAAACGTCAGAAGTTTCATAGTTGTGCTCTCAGAGCAAGATTCTGATGATTATTCTAGCAGACTAAGACTTTTATGACATCATTCTAAACTATTATTAATACCGTTTATACTTATTCTATTTTTACGCACTTATTAAATTATTTACGTATTTCAGATTTCTTCCCTTCTTTCTTTCCTTTTTTATTTTAACTAAACTCAGTATCCTATCGAATTCTACTGAGCCTGTTTAAGTGTGGTGAATATTACACAACAATTGCTGAAACTTGTGTACGACTAAAGAGTAGTAATAATATTAATAATATCATCGAGTGGTGAGGCCAATAGTGTGTAGTAATTTGAATTCTGTTTCATATGACATTTATCTATCTCTAGCAAAAAAGACCGAAAAATAGAATTATAGAAGATGACAACAGGTTCGAATATGTTCCGTAAAATATAATGCACCATTGGTCAAGTTATTTTGATAAGATCCCCAGTGAAGAAATATGAATCGCCATCAAATAAGTCAAGATTAGGAAAGCAGCGGAACCTGACAATATACGAGCTGAAACCCTTAGGTCAGACAAAAAAGTAAATGCAAGCATTCTTCACTTCCTATTTAAGAAGATTTCGAGGGAATAATAAGTGTGGAAAGAAAGACACCTGATCAAAATACCGAAGAAAGAAGATCTGGTAAATGCGAGAACTATGGCATAACCACATTACTATTAGCATCGGTAAAGGTTTTCAACAGAGTGTTGCTGAACTGGATGAAAGACTCACCAGGCGCCCAACTTTGAGATCAACAGGCTGGATTTCGTAAGAGTCGGTCATGAACAGACTACGAACAATCGTTGGATACTCAATGGAGTGGAACACATCACAATTCAGAAACTTCCTTGACTATGCGGAAGCGATCAATAGTGTGGATAGGAGTAAATAATGGAAGCTTCTTCGAAAATATGGTGTACTTGTGAAAATCCTCGTCATCCGATTGTCTTGTCGATTGTACGCTATATTCGTTCCTAAGCTATTCTAATAATCCGCACGCTAGAACTATACAGCGACCTGAACACCAGAAAGAAGATCCAAAGTATGAGAGAGACACTTTACCCCAAGGTTCGTTTTTGTACAAAAAAAACATGTATATTTATAGATGTTAACGTTTGTTAGATCAACATCATATTTCGGCCAATCCGTTAGTGAAATATTATGCTACTGACGAATAGTAGCTCGCCACGTTGGAATTCTAGAATGCTCCATCATGCTCTGATTGATTAAGACTCTTCGGCTCCTTTTGGGACTCTCGAGGCTCCGTTGAATTTCTCGGAAGGGCGACTAAGCATTGGTGCATGGTAAACTGCTGGCAGATGCATTCCAAGCGAGGACAAGAGCCAAACAGAGCTGATTACTTTCGCTCTTTCTCTCTCTTCTGGTCGCCGACTGTATTATGAAGATATCAACATCTGGCGGGAAGTACAGAATACAATAGACAGCTTGCATGCAACTTGATGATTTCGACTTCGCAGATGACCTGGCCCTTCTATCCCATGCACACAAACAAATGCAGATAAAGACAACTAATGTGACAGCAGCCTCTGCATCAGTAGGTTTCAACATACACAAGGGAAAAAACAAGGTCCTCAAATGCAACATGAAAAACACTACCCCAATCACACTTGACGGCGAAACTGTGGAAGATGTGGAATTCTTCACGTACCTGGGAAGCATCATCGATGAACAAGGAGGATTAGATGAAGACGTATAGGCGAGAATTGACAAAGCAAGGACGTCATTCCTACAACTGAAGAACATATGGAACTCAAAACAACTGTCAACCAATATCAAAGTCAGAACAGTTCTACTGTACGAAGCTGAAGTATGGAGAACTACCACAACCATCATCGAGAAGGTACAAGTATTTATAAATAGTTGTCTACGCAACATACCATCAGCAACAACCTATCGTGCAAGAGAGCAAACCAAGTTCCAAGTGAACAGGAAATTGGGAAGAGACGTTGGAACTGGATTGGACAAACATTACGAAACTCATCAAACTGCATCACGAGAGCTGTATTAACTTGGAATCCTGAAAGGAGACGGAAAAAAGGAAGATCGAAAAAGACACTACGTCGGGAATCGGGAGCAAACTTGAGAAGGACGGATAATGGCTGGAAAGGACGGGAGGGGATCGCCCAGGTAGGGTTGAATAGAGAATGTTGGTGGATGGCCTAATCTCCTCCATGAGGGTAACAGTTGCGAGAATGCAAGTAGTTATTTTGTTTTGATAAGTTCTCCAGTGTAATGTATATTTGCCTACTTACCCTACTTTCTTGATACTAACAAATTGATAAGCTGAGTTAGGTTATGTGCTATTTTAGGTAGTTTACGGGCAAAGTGTAAGTGAAGTATCATTTTTAAGAAGAATTTTTTAAAAGAGGAGATCAGTGGTCTTGGATTAGTACATAAAAGTTACGTGGTGTTATTTTGCGCATCGTGAAGGCCAAGTTAATCTTAAAAAGAGCTAGGATTGCTAGCTTTTTAGTGTCTTGGAGCCGTGACTAAAAAGAGGAGGCAACGGCTCAATAAGGTTTTATAATCGAACACCTTGTGAACACAGGTCACTCAATCAAGACAGACTCTGCATTCAAGGTCATCTACAGGGTAGGTAGAAGTCTTCCGAAGACAATTAGACTGCATCTTTTTCGC